CAAATTCCAAAAGTGGGGAAAGATCCAAGCTTAATTACAAACTACAGGCCCATTTCACTAATAAATATAGCTGTAGAAACATAGAATGTGACAGCAGATAAGAACCATTCGGCCCATCTAGTCTGCCCAATTTTCTAAATACTTTCATTAGTCCCTGGCCTTATCTTATAGTTAGGATAGCCTTATGCCTATCCCACGCATGCTTAAACTCCTTTACTATGTTAACCTCTACCACTTCAGCTGGAAGGCTATTCCATGCATCCACTACCCTCTCAGTAAAGTAATACTTCCTGATATTATTTTTAAACCTTTGTCCCTCTAATTTAAGACTTTGTCCTCTTGTGGTAGTTTTTCTTCTTTTAAATATAGTCTCCTCCTTTACTGTGTTGATTCCCTTTGTTTATGTTTTTAAATGTTTCTTTCATATCACCCCCGGTCTCGTCTTTCCTCCAAGCTATAGATGTTAAGATCCTTTAACCTTTCCTGGTAAGTTTTATCCTGCAATCCATGAACCAGTTTAGTAGCCCTTCTCTGAACTCTCTCTAAAATATCAATATTCTTCTGAAGATACGGTCTCCAGTACTGCGTACAATACTCCAAGTGAGGTCTCACCAGTGTTCTGTACAATGGCATGAGCACTTCCCTCTTTCTACTGCTAATACCTCTCCCTATACAACCAAGCATTCTGCTAGCATTTCCTGCTGCTCTATTACATTGTCTGCCTACCTTTAAGTCATCAGAAATAATCACCCCTAAATCCCTTTCCTCAGATGTTGAGGTTAGGACTCTATCAAATATTCTGTACACTGCCCTTGGGTTTTTACGTCCAAGATGCATTATCTTGCACTTATCCACATTAAATGTCAGTTGCCACAACTCTGACCATTTTTCTAGTTTACCTAAATCCTTTGCCATTTGGCTTATCCCTCCTCGAACATCAACCCTGTTACATATCTTAGTATCATCAGCAAAAAGACATACCATCAAGACCTTCTGCAATATCACTAATAAAAATATTAAAGAGAATGGGTCCAAGTACAGATCCCTGAGGTACCCCACTGGTGACAAGCCCAAGCTTCGAATATACTCCATTGACTACAACACTCTGTTGCCTGTCACTCAGCCACTGCCTTACCCATTCAACAATATTGGAATCCAGACTTAAATACTGCAGTTTATTGATAAGCCTTCTATGTGCAACAGTGTCAAAAGCCTTACTGAAATATAGGTAAGCAATGTCTACTGCACCACCTTGATCTATTATTTTAGTTACCCAATCAAAAAAATCAATAAGATTAGTTTGGCATGATCTCCCTGAAGTAAACCCATGTTGTCTCTGATCTTGAAATCCATGTGTTTTTAGATGTTCAACAATCCTATCCTTTAACATGGTTTCCATCACTTTCCCCACTACTGAAGTAAGGCTTACTGGCCTATAGTTGCCAGACTCCTCCCTATTACCTTTCTTGTACTCCTGTTAACAATGATTGGTTAAATAAATCTGTTAATGGTTTTGCTAGTACACCACTAAGCCTTTTTAATAGCTTTGGGTGTATTCCATCAGGTCCCATGGACTTATTTGTCTTTACTTTTGACAGTTGTAATAGAACCTCTTCCTCTGTAAACTCACATGTAACAAATGACTAATTTGTCCTTTTTCCTAACTGAGGTCCCTTTCCTTAATTTTTATCTGTAAATACCGAACAAAAATATCCATTGAGACAGTCAGCTAGACATTTATCCTCTTCTATTTTCAAAAATTTTGTCAGACAGACTTAAAACAGTAATAGAAAACACAAGTATATATTAGACGGAGTATCTTACATGCACATACAGCTGAATACCTGAGTCAAATACCTAATGGCACCATACTTGTGAGTGTAAATTTATCGGAGATTTGGCACTTTAACTAAAAGTTCAAAACGATATTGCACTATTATCTGTCTTTCTCTTATGTTTTATTGTAGGGGTTTACCTAACATAAAGACTTGTTCCTGTATGTGCATGTAAGATACTCCGTCTAATATATACTTGTGTTTTCTATTACTGGTGAAGGTTAAGGGGACCCCACCTAGACGTTAGAGTACTGTGCATTGGCACTAAGCACCCACTTAACATCTGTATTTTTACGTAAAACAGTAATGTCAGATTTAGTACATCCAGATAACAGGTCCATTTTTAAACCATAGTGTCAACGCTTAGTGAATATTCTCCTTTGAGATATTCTCCAGAGTATCACAACAAAATTGTTACATTCTGAGTTCCAAAAGTGGGTATCAGTATAGAAATATATGCATCAACAGTGATGAAGGTATAACTCTTTTAACTGTGTCCACTTCTGTAGCAAACCACAATATGTTCTGTATGTACCTTAAAATTAAGTTAACAGTAACATAGTGGTGCTTACGTACCACTTAAACAGCAAAGGGTACACTCGAGCCAGCCAAGCAGTCAAAAAGTTACCAGTTCCTTGGGAAAAGACAGCGTCTGCTCTGTGCACTTGAGCAGACTGTCTACGATCTGCGCCCGGAGGAACGCCAAAGGTATCTCTCGCTGGGAGGCAAAAACCTTGTGTGTGGTCACCAGATGCTGGAAAGAACATCTGGCACCATCAACGCGTCTCTAGACCTCTCTAGATAGAGGGTGTTTTATAAATGCTGTTTATTTTACCATCCCTAAAAAAGCGTTTGTATGTGCTATCACCTGGTGCCCCCTTCTGATCGGGACCCACATATAATTAAAAGCAATATTGATAATATTGAAGAAAAGGATATAAGGTAATAAGAGAGTCTGGAAAGGGATAAACATCAAAGATTTGTATAAAATCATAAATAATATTAAATTCTAATGTAACAACTAATAAAGAATAGAGGTAAAAAATATTTTCAAAGGAAATGACAGAATGTTTGCCGACTCTATTTCTGCATTAAGTCCTGAAGTGGCCAAAGTTTTCAGATTAAAGATCCAATACATCTCTTGGTAAGTTAGCTTCTTACTTAATTCACCTCTTCTCCAAGGTACCTGTACTTTTTGAATACCACAATATGTGAGTCAAGCTGGATTACTGTTGTGATGGGTCTTAAAATGTTGTGACAACGAATATTTTTCAAATTCTCTTTTGATGTTATATGCTTGTTCCCTCAACCTGATTTTTAATGTTCTTTTTGTTTGGCCACATACTGGAGAACACAAGGGCAGCCTAACATGTAGATGACTTGCTTAGTGTTACACGTGAGATAATCTTTTATATTAAACTTGTGCCCTGTAACAGAGGACTAAAATGTGGTGGTTTTACTTTGTGTAGAGCTGGTCAATTTGCAGACATTACAATTACCACGTTTAAAGAAGCCTTTCTCTGTATTTAAAAAGTGTCTTCTTACTTTAGGGTTCATAGGACGTACCAACTTACTTTTTAATGTTGGTGCCCCTCTACAGATAACCCTGGGTTTATCGGGTAAATGGAGTGTCAAAACTGGATTCTGACATAACAGATGCCAGTGTCTAAAGATACTTTTCTTTATAAAATGTGTTTGGGCACTATAATTGAATACAAAAGGGCATAATGAATTATAATGTTTTTTTCCGTTGGCTCCTTGTTATGCATATTTTTATCTTTCAAGAGTGTGGAATGGTCTATACCTTCCACTTTTTCTAAAACTGTGTGTAAAAGTTGTGTATCATAGTCTTTTTCAATAAATTATTGCTTCACCTTCTCCAGTTGGGATCTACATACTCCTGGGTCGGAACAGTTATTTTTTACTCTTAAGAACTGACTTTATTAGACACTTGTCAGCCAAGATGGGTAGTGACAACTGGGGGTCCAGATGAAGCTATTCACGTCCACACAAATTTTTGGTCCGTATACAACACCACGTCTAACGTCTAACACAGGACCCTAATACAGATATCACAAGATGGTTAATCCATCGTCCTAAAAATTAATAAGCATATATGAATTGGCTATACAATTTACCACTGCTAGTCTTAATGGGGTGCAACATATACTCAAAAGCAAAGAGAATGATCGATAATAGCTTCCTATATAAAGCATCAGTACAACATTTGCAGTAGATCATCCTGTTATGTTAAATTCAAGATGATTTTATGTGTTTATTTTATCTTACTTTTTACATGTGTATTTTACATTAAAAAATAAATTAATTTCTGTCATGTACATTTTATGGAACAATGTCTTAAGAGAGTATGCTTTATTTGTATATTTCATATATTATCGTTATACGTGATCTAAGGAGACACTTTTTTAGTCAGATGTCTGCATCTTTAAGCAATCACTGATTCCGCTCTGATAACAGAGTATAAAACTGTTCAGAAGTGCCGCAGCAACTATCTTGAAAAAGGCCATTTCAAAAGGGCGAAACACGTTGATGGTGCCGGACGTTCTTTCCAGCATCTGGTGACCACACACAAGGTTTTTGCCTCCCAGCGAGAGATACCTTTGGCGTTCCTCCGGGCGCAGATCGTAGACGGATGGCTCAAGTGCACAAAGCAGACGCTGTCTTTTCCCAAGGAACTGGTAACCTTTTGACTGCTTGGCTGGCTCGAATGTACCCTTTGCTGTTTTAGTGGTAAATAAGCACCACCATTTTATCTAGTAAGAGTTCTTAAATGGGGGGCTTATAGGGTACAATAAATCTACAGTGTTACACTATGTTACTGTTTCCTTAATTTTAAGGTACATACAGAACTCATCGTGCTTTGCCACAGAAGTGGACACAGTTAAAAGATTTATACCTTCATCACTGTTGAGACATTTATTGCTATACTGATACCCACTTTTGGAACTTTAACTGTCCAAATTTGTTGTGATACCCTGGAGAAAATCTCACAGGGGAAATTTCACTAAGTGCCGATTCTGGGGTTTGCAATTTTGACTTGGGAAAGTTTTTTTGTTTTTTAGCAGCTGTTTTATTTATTTTTTTTATATATACTGTCATTTGTAGTTATCCACTTTTTTGTTTATTGCTATTTTTTGCGCTCTCTTTGATTTGTTTTCTAGGTCCATTTTTAAGTTCATCTTTTTTCAGTATCCAAAATGGTACACAACAGGGCTGCCCTTTATCTCCTCTGCTATATGCTTTATCTATCTAGCAGAAGATCAACAGAGGAGATAAAGGGCATCGAAGTAAACAAGCATAAGTTTAAAGTAACACTCTACGCAGGCAACATTCTACTCACACGACCACTCCCGAGATTTCTATTCCAGCAGTAATTTCAATTATTAATGAATTTCCACATTACTCAAATTATAAGTTGAATCTAAGACACAAATTGTGAGCAGATATTTAACATCATCTTAAAAACAATCCTTACAATGTAAATTCCAATTTATTTTTAGCAAATATTGGTTAGACTACTTTGGCATTAAGTTAATTTTAGACTTAGAACGAGTTATTCCAGAAAATTATGAGTTTTTATTGCAAGACCTAAATCAGCAAATAATTAAACTGAAGAAGTAGAGGTCTCGTGGATAGGAAGAATCAATCTGGTTATACCCTATTTGGTCCCTAAGATACTATATCTGTTCAGAATGATTCTACTTCGGGTTCCGGGGTCCATCCTAGAAAAATTTAATACATTATTCCATTCCTTTAATTGGGGATGCAAGAAACCCAGAATTGTGCAGAACATAATTAAAATAGATAGTATCCAAATGGGAGTTGGCTTTCCCAATTTGAATCTATTACACAATGTAACCATGTTCACACATGTGAAGGCCTGAGGAAAAATAAAAAAGCGGGTTGATTCCATTGTGAAAGTTCTCAGATTGGAATCTCAAATCCAATATATCTTTTTTGGATTAAGCCGTCTATGATTAAACATTTAAATCTAGAAAATCTGTTACTTAAAGACGCAGTTAAGACCGGGGCAAAGGTCAGAGCCAGATTAGGAACTAAAGACTATGTCACTCAGGCTACATCCCTTAAAATTCTTAAATATTATATACTGGATTTAGATGTATCTAGATGGGATCATGTAGGTATTAATACCTTAGCCGACATTACGATAAGAGGGGAAAATATTGCCGTTTGACGTTATACAATCGAAATATAATTTATTAAATAGAGATATCTTTCTCTATCTTAGAATAAAAAAATCTTAAAGGCTTATTGTGTCTCCCCTGCAACTCAACTAGAGGATTTTAAAATTAATTATTAATAATCAGGAAACAGTATTAACCTCACCAGTGAGGAAATGGGAAAAGGATATGAAAGTCTATAATTCAATAGAAAATTGGAAGGAAGTTCTGGAACTGGTTAAAAAAAGTGTACACTCCATTAATCTACAGGAAGTATATCTTAAGTTGATGAACCGTGGGTATCTTGATCCTCTACGCATTAGCAAGTTTAATAAATCTACTCCAGATTGCTGCTGGATAGGTTTTCAGGCGCAGGGTTCAATATACCACAATTGGTGGAACTGCGAGAAATTACAACAGATTAAAGTTAAAGTAGAAGAAACATTAGCTGACATTTTAGAGGTAGAGTTTACATTCAAGCCACAAATATGGCTTTTCCATCTAGATCTACCGGAGATGAATAAGCACTGTAAATATTTCATGGTATATATCTGGCGGTTAAGATATGGCTAGAGATTGGTGGAAACCAGAAACTCCGGAATGGCCTAGAATAATTAATCAGATTACACATCAAGCACATATGGAAATATATTTTTATAATGTAAATGGGAAAGTCCCTACCTGTAAGGAAATTTGGTCCCCTTAGCTAGAATATAAGAGACTTAGACCCCAAATCACAAATCTCTAATCCTGCATGTTGGTGGATCTTGAAAACTGGCTTGAGAAGTAACGGCATTGAGTGTTAATAAGGGTTAAGTGTCAAACCTTTTCAGATGCTTCGTGGGAAAGAACATCATATCTTTCTTGAAAGAGGCTGTTCTTTTCATCTTGTGAAGCTGAATCTTCACCTGTGCATTCAGAGTCACTTTTCCGATACAAGGGATAGTGCTGAAAGTGAAACAAAATGTTTTTGAAATTTAATGTAAAGCTTTATACTGGTCTACTGACATAAATACAGTACAGAGTTACGGGGGCCATGGCGCATGGCGGACGGCCGTGTTGTGAGAGAGTTCCTCCTGCATACTAAGCACTCACTGCCCACTCATGGTGCGCCAAAATGCCCTTTATTGACATACACAGACCCAGGCAGCAGAGCAGAGCCCTCCGAGACATACCACGGAGGGGGCAGTCCTGGGATACAGGTGAGGCCTTGCACACTCGGAAGTCGGGGGAGGCGGCCAATCTCCCGAACTGCGAGCAGAGGCTTCCTATCTGTGGACAAAAGCTACTCCGTTACTCCCCCACCCTCCCCTGAACCGGCGGGGGTCATCGCGGGCCCCACCAGCCTATACTCACCCAAGCAGCAACCTGCAGCCACACAGAGCCCGCTCTACAAACACAGAAACCCTGACCAAAATGGTGGACGCGCCATGTTCCTGTAAGTCTCCCACGCAGCATGTACAGTCACACCATATAGTTACATAGCTGAAAAGAGACTTTCGTCCATCAAGTTCAGCCTTCCTCACATATGTTTTTTGCTGTTGATCCAAAAGAAGGCAAAAAAACACAGTTTGAAGCACAATTTTGCAACACGCTAGGGAAAAAATTCCTTCTTGACCCCAGAATGGCAGTCAGATTTATCCTTGGATCAAACAGTTATTACCCTACATTGAAAGATTATATCCTTGGATATTCTACAATGATGCTGTAGAACAGTCCCTGCAGAAATTAGATTAAATCTTCCGACGAGTCTGGGACACCTTGGCTGCGAGACACGCTCCAAATCTGACCAACTAAGCGGTATGTGGGGGTGGAAGACAAGGGGAGTCCAGAGCCACTCCGGGCACAGCTACTCTGCAAGCTCCAGTTGCACCTACGAAGTGCCCACCTGGGCCGAGGGACATCAGGGGACCAACCCTAAAGCATCTCTCATGTAAGCGGAAGATCGTCCGCCACCGGCGCTGATTATCCAACAAGGTCGTCTGCATTCCCCATAACGGGGTAGACTTGGACTTATTGAGCCCCTTAGTCAGTGGCTTTGTGATGCAGGCCCAAACACTGGCCTGGGGCTGGGATCAGGCTTTGGCTCACCACACACAAGCAGCCATACTGAACACATGGATTTTCCAACAGAGGAAACCTACATGCGGCATAAGATGAACACCTGATTCTCCTGAGTGAACAAAACATCCCTATAGCAGGGAAAAAGGACTGTGTGCATGACGCTTTAGGAGGAGTGGGAAGCCTTGTGGCATTACAGCTACTTCGTTTTTACATGTTACCTAGCTCGGAATATTCATGTTGATTTACAAGCCTAGCTAGCCTGTCACTTTACCCACTAGCATATTATATATAGCTGAGATGTGAAAACCTGACTAGTGCTTGCTTATAACATGTTCCTGCCGAGTTACGTGTCTAGGTAACTTACCACCTTATCTACTAGCATGCTTACATATAGCTAGGATGTGAAATCCTGACAAGTTCTTAATTATAAAATTGTGCACGTTTTTTCATGTGTCCCACTGCACTGCACTGCAATAATATAAAGTGAAAAAAAATTAAAATATAGAGTTACAGTTTTTTTTCCTGGTATAGCAGATGGCAAAAGAACACCTTCCCAATTGCCTTGCGTGCCTCCGATTTAGTGAAAGTCTAATTTTGGCATACACAGTCTATAAGAGCACAGAAGTGGAAATCTTCTACTCCACCAGATAAGAAAACCTTTAAATGTCCCAAAAGTATTGAGGGGCAGGGTAATGTTGCAAATATTGTTAGGAGTCTCCTGAAGATATTACTCAGACCCTCTAAATTACATTATTTTTCACAAAGTACTATTCATTGCACCTTGCAGCAAGCTCCACAAAGCTCAGTTTATTAGTGTGTGAAAATGGCAAACTGTGACTAATTATGTACAAAGTAAAGATAATATGGGAATATGAGTGTGAAGCCACAGCACTATAAAAAGATATCACATCTCATGTTGTTCTTCTCACCATAAAGCAGTTCCGCCCAACACCACTTCTGCATCCTAGCCTTTCTTTAAAGCCCCTCTTTCCCTCTATTCTATCCTGGTTGTCCATAATCGTTCACTCTCTGGTGGAAATCCCAATTCTTTCAAAATGGCAGTCTTCAAATTTTTTTTTCTAGCAAAAAAAGATAATGCATCTTGGACGTAAAAACCCAAGGGCAGAGTACAGAATATTTGATAGAGTTCTAACCTCAACATATGAGGAAAGGGATTTAGGGGTGATTATTTCTGATGACTTAAAGGTAGGCAGACAATGTAATAGAGCAGCAGGAAATGCTAGCAGAATGCTTGGTTGTATAGGGAGAGGTATTAGCAGTAGAAAGAGGGAAGTGCTCATGCCATTGTACAGAACACTGGTGAGACCTCACTTGGAGTATTGTACACAGTACTGGAGACCGTATCTTCAGAAGGATATTGATACCTTAGAGAGGGTTCAGAGAAGGGCTACTAAACTGGTTCATGGATTGCGGGATAAAACTTACCAGGAAAGGTTAAAGGATCTTAACATGTATAGCTTGGAGGAAAGACGAGACAGGGGGGATATGATAGAAACATTTAAATATATAAAGGGAATCAACACAGTAAAGGAGGAGACTATATTTAAAAGAAGAAAAACTACCACAACAAGAGGACATAGTCTTAAATTAGAGGGACAAAGGTTTAAAAATAATATCAGGAAGTATTACTTTACTGAGAGGGTAGTGGATGCATGGAATAGCCTTCCAGCTGAAGTGGTAGAGGTTAACACAGTAAAGGAGTTTAAGCATGCATGGGATAGGCATAAGGCTATCCTAACTATAAGATAAGGCTAGGGACTAATGAAAGTTTTTAGAAAATTGGGCAGACTAGATGGGCCGAATGGTTCTTATCTGCCGTCACATTCTATGTTTCTATGTTTCTATGTTTCAAATAAGCACCCTTGATACAATGGATACAGCAGTTGCAAAGGCCAGTAAGGTACAATCTCACATAAAAAGAGTATAAATTCACAACTCATGCAATGCTCAAACTGATCCAGTTGTTACTTTCCTTCCAATCACTATGGAGCACCGTGGACCTTGGGGTTCCACCGTGGTTAGATGGACCTGCTGATTACTTCAGGTCCACAGACTATTTGACTAATTCATTACAACAAGGAAAGTACAGTGCTGCTATAGTAAACAGTTAATTAGTTGCCTGATGCATGATATATCAGTTCCTATTAATAGGACCTACAGATATACATTGTCACGGATGGCAAGGTCTCTTTACAACCCAGGTATTTGTAGTGTTGGGATTCTAACCTGTAAAAGGATCGGCGCTGATGGAGAAAGCGGTTCGACACCTCTGCAGTTCTGCAATAAAGGCGGTTCTCCTCTCTGCCAGGAACAAAATTGAATGGTTTACTTATTGTTCAATAATTCACACCATCAGCCTTACAAATCAATCTGCTTGCTCTGTGTAAACAGAACTAAAATTACATGTACATACATATTAAAAATATTTTCTGTGGTTAACCTGTAAGAAAATGATGCATATAAAAATAACATATATATATATATATATATATATATATATATATATATATATATATATATATATATATATATATATATATATATATATATATATATATAACATACAGGTCTTTTTAGTGTTGTAAAAATATAGAAACAAATCTCTTCAAATGAACTGTAAATATTTTATTTTTGATCAACACTCCCAATATTTATTTTTAACCTCTGTCGCCCCACATCATAATGGCTTACATCCCTAAAGATGGTAACTAAAGAGCTACAAGTTGCTACAATCCCACACAAGTGGGGAACTCCCCGAGCATTACTGGTTGACTGCATTGTCCGAAGCGGATTCCTTCCTGAAAGCTGTTGGCCTATCTGCTCCTCCACAAATTTACAAGGATAAACATCTACTAAAAAGTGATATCCTTGTAAATAACCTTTTTGACGTGTTTTTCTGGATTTTTTTTTTCTAGCAAAAACTGTAGATCTCTTGTCTGAAGCCTTTGCAAGCCCTCCACTTCTAACCCCGCCCACACTTTCTGTGGCTGTCCAATCACAGACTTCCTAATGCTGCTCATTGAGAAGTCTTTACAAGGCAGGTGCTCTGGACAATTGCTGCCTCTAGATATTAGCTCCACTGAGTTAAACAAACCAGGAAAACCAGGACCGGTTGTCTGATTGACAGCCATGCGGGTCTAACAAACAATTTATAAAAGTGACAATTTCTATTGAAATCTGCACTTTTTGTAAGACTAAAGTATAGGACACACTCGTCACACAAAGTATTTCAGCAAGCTAAAGTGATTTAGGAGTCTGGAGTGTCCATTCAAGTTTCATTTTAGGGTACTATATTGTTATTGAGAAGCACGTTATATTGTCTTGGGATCCACCCATTTTTCTGACATCCCCACTGTATCAATGATCAGGGTTAACCTGGGCCTGACAAAATGCAAATCCTCATTTACTTCTCCTATCATAAGGCAATCAATATTATGTCCACTTCCCACCTTAAAAATCGGCCTCCATACCCGCTACCGTCCTGCATTTCATACTTATCTGGAATCCTCTAATATCTGCTATATAGACACGTACCTGCTGAGTGATTAAATTAACTTCTTTGTATTTCTTAGTGCAACAAAAACAAAGAATATGAGAACTTTGAGAACAGCTTAGAGGAACTCTGTAGCTTGCCCTTCGGTAAATCACAGCTCAAAATATGTCAAACTAGTTTTTGCTCACTTGTGCCACTACAGAGCACCAGTTTTAAGGCTTATCCAACTGATCCCACCCATAAGGGCAACCCAGAACTGAAATACAGGCAAGCTCTCTTTGCACGAGAGATGCAGCAACCCAGGATGATCGCTTTGGCCTTCTTTGTGCATCGTCAGCGAAGTGTAGCTGATATCCCTCTAGGCACAGTGAGCACAGTGTCCATGTCTTTTAACCCTTTTACCCTTTTAACTTGGGGAAAGCCAAATTAGTGAAACAAAAAAAAAAAGAATATGAGAACTCTGAGAACGGACAAAAACTTAGTACTTCTTGCATGTGCTGATGGATGGCCTCACGGTCTTCTCTTGAGCTCCAAATAACATTTCACTCTGCCATTTTCTTACTTTAAGAGCATCAGAGCTGTAAACATATCTTTGAAAGGAGACTTGTGACTCACAAAGAGGCACAAATAAGTTTCAATTATGAAGGAAGGAATGCAAAGTGGAATCATTTATTCAAGGGCTTCTGCAAACACCATAACCACTTCAGTTAATGTGGTTGTGGTGCCTGCAGTCTGTATGTTCAGAGTACTCTACGAAATGCGGCACTTTCAAAGATTAATCCCTTAGCTGCCAGAGGTATAACCCACCTCCGTTTGCATCATTAGTCATTCCAGAAGTTGACTGGCAAATGTCAATTATGTGCAAAATTGATGTCTGACGCCAGACAGTCAAAGGCAACAGAGCCCCTCCCACACCTATCTGTGCAGCCCTTGTTCTCAGTGACCTCGCTCAAACTCCAGTGAGGGAGAGTGATGTCAGCCAAGGAGGATCATGTTGACGTGAGCCGAGGCAATGGAACAGAGGTAAGTTTTATTGTTTTATTTATTAATATTTGTGGAGGTAAGGTAGACCACCTCAGAAACAGATACTCTATCCAAAACAAGCTCTGTATTTTCATTAGAGTAATCCTTTACATATGAAGAAAATGTGTCATGATTTATTGGGAGGGAACAATGCAATGAATTATTAACTGTTCATTCAGTTATAGTACAGGAACATGAATGGTTTTCTTCTTTACTGGATCAACATATTTTGTATAGCTATAGCTTTCTGCATGGTGGATGTGCATGTAACACACCTCCATAAAACCCTTCTGCCAGAGGGCCTCGTGTATACCATCAATGCACCATTTGTTGTCACATAAAGTTATGAAATACACTTACCAACAAAAATTTAAATATTTTATCAAATCGCTTAGTCAATATACGGTATTTACAGACATTTTTAGGGCATAATGGGCATTGGCTGATCTATAAATGCAACTCCACTTCCAAAATTGTTATTTCTCAGACCTCCATTAACTGCAAACATGTGGATGACTACAAAAACGAGTTTGGACAACATCGCTGTAAAGGCAGATATGAGCTATTAACATATAAAACATTTTTTGATTATATACCATTCTGGAACAGTTCAGCTTGAGAGAGGCCTCAATAATTTGACGTTCTGCAGTTCTACAAATTGCACAGTTATCACCTTCCAGAGCAACACTATTGACCAGGACAAAACTGAAAGAAACAATAAAAAAAAAAAATCGCATTAAAACATTTAAAATTAAAATGTGTTGCTATCCGAGCATAGAATAATAATAACTAGTATTTATATAGCGCCTTTCTCCCAGTGGGACTTAAAGTGCTTTTCAGCGCACATGCTCTCGGAATGAACCAAATCGGAAGCTGAATAGTAATAGATATTATTACCCACTAATTGATGGTACAATATAGCGATCATGCTACACAAGTCAAACAATGCCTGAATGTGAGAGGACCATGCACTAAACAGAATGCTTGAGAAGAAAGACAATTAGGCCTTACTGTTTAAAGAAGGTCTAATGAAGTTTTTGATATAATTGACTGAATTTGTACTAGCATTTGATGATCAATGTAATAATGTAACTTTGTTTCTTACACTGATAAAACAGGCAATATTAATTTAAGACAAAATAGTCATGTTCTAACTTTTAAATTTTTTTCCCCAATAGATACATTGGCATAAAACTTACACTTTCAAGAATAAAGCCATATATTCCCACCTGATGTGCAGTAATATTAGAGTATCCAGTTCTTACCATGTAGCACAAAGTGTGAATTTATTATGCGACTTATATTTTTTTTATTGTTCTGGTGCCCGGAGTGTCCATTTCACTTATTTTATACAGTTTAGATCATGGGTCGTCAACCTGGTCCCTACCGCCCACTAGTGGGCGTTTTGGGATTCCAGGTGGGCGGTAGGGACTTTGGAGGTTAAAACCTCCTTTTGAGCGAGCGCGCGAGAGGGCGGGCGCGCGAGCGAGCGGGCGCGCGAGCGAGCGCACACATCAAGAAACCAACGCGAGCGAGTGGGCGGGCGGTGCAGGCGGGCGCGAGCGCACACATCAGTCGACCTCCTTTTGTGTGAGAAGTTGTCGGGCGGGAGCGAGCGCACGCAAACACGTGGGAAGAGGAAGGGGAGGAGTTGAAACTGATAGCAGGGACAGGCAGAAGCAGGCTGAAACGGAGCAGAGGAGTTGAAAAAGAAAAGTTATAGGCAGGAGAAAGAGAATTGTTTAGGGGAGGAGTGGAAACTGATAGCAGGGACAGGCAGAAGCAGGCTGAAACAGAGCAGAGGAGTTGAAAAAGAAAAGTTATAGGCAGGAGAAAGAGAATTGTTTAGGGGAGGAGTGGAAACTGATAGCAGGGACAGGCAGAAGCAGGCTGAAACAGAGCAGAGGAGTTGAAAAAGAAAAGTTATAGGCAGGAGAAAGAGAATTGTTTAGGGGAGGAGAGGAAACTGATAGCAGGGACAGGCAGAAGCAGGCTGAAACGGAGCAGAGGAGTTGAAAAAGAAAAGTTATAGGCAGGAGAAAGAGAATTGTTTAGGGGAGGAGTGGAAACTGATAGCAGGGACAGGCAGAAGCAGGCTGAAACAGAGCAGAGGAGTTGAAAAAGAAAAGTTATAGGCAGGAGAAAGAGAATTGTTTAGGGGAGGAGTGGAAACTGATAGCAGGGACAGGCAGAAGCAGGCTGAAACAGAGCAGAGGAGTTGAAAAAGAAAAGTTATAGGCAGGAGAAAGAGAATTGTTTAGGGGAGGAGTGGAAACTGATAGCAGGGACAGGCAGAAGCAGGCTGAAACGGAGCAGAGGAGTTGAAAAAGAAAAGTTAAGGGCAAAGAGAGAAAGAGAATTGTTGGCTAATAATAATAAGTGGGCTAACTAGCTCAGCCTTACTTTTGTCGCTCAGGAAGGTAAAAGAAAGGAGATAAAAAGGAAAAGATAAAAAAAATTAAAAAAGGAAGAAAAATAGAAAAAAGGGGATAAAATAAAGGAGGAGAGTAAGCAGTGTTTAGTCTGGCTCATAAATTAAGTTTTGTTATCTTATAAAATAAAAGAAAAAAATAAGTAAGGGAAGGAGAAAATAAAAAAAAGGAAAAAGAGATCCTTAATATAGTGATATACTATAAGGAAGGTAAAGAAGCAGGCAGGAAAAGGAATTTCTTTTGATGGTGACATTAATAAAAATTGGCACCTAATACAGCATTGTTTTTGGTGTTAGTAATAAAAGGGAAAAGAGGAGGGAAAAAAGCACTGTGTGGAGTGCAGATCAAAACGTAAGAGTAAAAGTAGTTGTTAAATTGTGAAACAAATTTAGAACCCATGTCTGAAAAAAAGAAATACGCTCGTGGCTATTTACCAGAGTATCTGAAGATGGGTTTCATTGAATCTGTTACAAATAAACAGCTTCCAATGTGTTTACTGTGCCACAAGACATTATCTAATGAAGCAATGAAGCCAAGTCGATTGCGAGAACATCTTACTACAAAGCATTCGCAAGATAAAGATAAGCCCATTGAATATTTTCAAGAAATCTATAAAAGATTTCAAAATCGTTCAACAATAGCTACATCCTTTCAAAAACAACATGCAAAGAATGAGGATGGATTAACTGCAGCTTATCGTATATCACACTTAATTGCAAAAAGTGGTAAAAGCCATAATATTGGAGAAACTTTGATAATACCCTCTATCAAAGAATTTATCTCAACAGTAATGCATCAGGATATACCTGAAGTTTTAAAAACATTGCCCCTTAGCGATAACACAGTAAAGAGACGCATTGATGAAATGGCGGCTAATGTTGAAAATAAACTTATAGGTATTCTCCAAAATTCGTCATTTTCTATACAATTGGATGAGTCTGTCATTGCAGATAATAATGCTCTACTGATGACATATGTACGGTACCTTGATGAAAACAATACATTGCAAGAAGAAATGCTATTCACTGTCAATCTGATTACAGATACAAAAGGATTATCAATATTTAATGCTGTGAAATCATACTTTGCAAAAAACAATATACCCTTGAACAATATTGTTGCATGTGCTACTGACGGAGCACCATCAATGGTAGGCCGCTATCGTGGGTTTGTTGCTTACTTGAAGGAAGAAGTGCCAAGCGTTTTGTGTATTCATTGTGTTGTACACAGACAACATATTGTAGGAAAACATTTAAGTACAAGTCTCCATTCATCATTAAGTATTATAATTAAAGCTGTAAATAAGATAAAATCTAATGCCAAGTGTGATAGAATGTTTCGACAGCTGTGCCAGGACAATAACGAGCAGTTTATTAGGTTACTTTTACATACAGAAGTTCGATGGCTCTCAAAGGGTACATGCTTGACTCGTTTTGTTGCATTATTTGATAGTGTCGTACAGTTTTTTGAAAGTGATAATGAGACTGGTCTCTATGAACAGTTAAAAAACGTAAAGAATGATGCCTTTTATTTGGCAGACATTTTCAAGAGATTTAATGACATTAATTTGCAGCTTCAAGGAGCCAATATAACTCTTATAAGTTGCAAAAATATTGTGTCATTATTTATCGAAAAGCTTGATCTTCTCCGTCATAATATTTTCAAGAGAGAATTTCATCAGTTTCCTGAATTGTCCTCTATAAACAATGATGTAAGTCCGGGGGATATTGAAAGGTTCAGTAGTCACCTCAAGGAACTCAAATTGGATATGGAAAAACGATTTCAAGATATTTTGAACTTAAAGGTGCATGACTGGATGATAAATCCTTTTACAGCAAATGTTGCTGAAGTTGATATAACTTGCCAAGAAGAACTATTAGAACTTAAATATGACGAAGAGAGTAAATGTAATTTTGGCAGTGGTGGATACCAAAAACTCTGGCAAAATAAAAAAATGCCTGCGTTATATCCAAATATGTGGAAAATGATGTTCAATTTATTGATACCTTTCCCTACCACATATCTTGTAGAATCAGGCTTTAGTGCTGTTAATCATATTATGAGCAAACAGAGAAACCGTCTGAATATCACCGAAAGAGGAGACCTTCGTTTGTTCCTTACGAAAATCGAACCAGATATCAAATATTTAGTCTCGCAGCATCAGCCTCAAGGATCTCACTAGTAAAGCTAATTTCAATTTACTTTATTGTTTTCTAATTAAACTTTATAAAGTTAAAAACATTATAAACATGCATAAAGTAGAAATAAAAAGATAAATGTACGTACATTTATTTATTTTTTTTAAAACAACCTCCTTTCTAAAAAATATTCCGCGCTTGCGCGAAAACTGGTGGGCGGTAAGGAAATTTTTCCATCAAGAAAGATGCATTAGTGGGCGGTAGGTAGAAAAAGGTTGACTACCACTGGTTTAGATTATATTTATGGCTCCGCTGTGTCATGTACGATATATTAATCGATTGTGGAAGAGAATTACTGAGAAAGATTACTAATGTAAGTAAAATGTGTGTTGTTTTTTTTTTTTTAAATCTGTTATTTACAGGATGTTACTGAAATACGTTGTGCACCTGTTTATGTATACGGGTTGTATTAAGTGTGTTGAGCACTGAAAATACACCGATTGGAGTATTTTATAAGTTGCAAACACTACACTAAATTTAGCACGAGTTGCATCTGTTATTTAAACAGACCTCCAGTATTTGCAATCTCCTTGATCAGCAGTTGTGAAAATAGTGATTTTTATAGCTATACCATGAGATATCCAATTGCACTTTTGCATTTTAGTAATAATTATCACTGGTTATAAAATGTAAATGACCTGTATGATATGACCCACACACTGATAGGAGAAACAGTACAAACTAAAATAGTCTACTTACTTGATCCCTTTTCGAGTCACTACTTTCCCAGACGTGAGATTGAAAGTCTTTTCAAATCTGTTCAATTTATCATGTGTCATTCTGTGAAGTAATAACAGTAACCCAGGTGTTCAGAGGAACTAGAGTACAGATAGTGCATGGATCAGCCACAGCATTAAAACCACTGAAGGTGAAGCAAATAACATTGATTATATCGTTACAATGGTACCTGTCAACGGCTGGTATATATTACTCAGCAAGTGAACAGTCAGTTCTTGAATTTCATGTGTTGGAAACAAAACATTTTTAAAAAAATCGGCAAGAGAAAAGATCTTTGAGTGACAATGGCAAGGGCCAATTCCAATCCATGACAGCCCCATCTTGGTGCCAGATACCACAGGACAACAGAACACATTCAGAAGTCTTGTGGAGCCCATGCCTCGACAGAACAGAGCTGTGTTGGCAGCATGAGGGGGACCTACACAATATTGGGTGGGTGGTTTTAATAGTGTGGCTGATCATTGTATATAAAATTTAAGTTGAGTATATTTTTCATGGAAACATTGAGTTTACATGGTCTTAGGTCAGCAGAGCACATAAAACATTCACAATAAGGCAAAACACCTAAAATAGTGTCAATAGTTTCCAAGAGTTTTAACAGTGTAAATAAACAGTAACAACGACATACTACCAGAAAGATTAAGAAAATAATTGTTAATAAACTATTAACTTACTCATAATGAAATCCAATGTCATGATTGCCAACAACTACCAACAGTTCTGTATGAGGAGGATGTCTGAACATGCGCCGAAATCGAGCAACATCTTCATCCCATGACTAGAAAGAGAAGAGATCACGAGATTTAAATAAAGTTTGACATCTTGTGTTTTGATGAACGTTGATTATTGGATGTAGAGGTTCAATTAAGATATAGTTTGGAAACTCAATGTAAAGCTAAGTGCAGGCTCTCCAATGTAGAGAAGAAAGGAATGGGGTGCGGGAGGGGGAGGGAAGCGCCAGGAGCGCTGGCCCCGTGCGGAGGTTCGTGTGTTCCACTCAGGTCCCCGTGTGTGGGTTCACGGGTTACGTCTAGTTTTGTCCAGGAAGTCTTCCCATGGTTGCCACACCTTAACAAAAGAGGCTGTGGTATTCCGCAGCTGCGCTGTCAGTTTGTCCATTAGGAAGTTGTCCTTTATTTTGTTTATCACTTTGTGCAGGGGGGATATCTGAGCTGAGCCATTGTTGGGCTACAGCCCGTCTGGCCGCTAGTGTCATTTTGTTCACTAATTTCTGTTCTCGTGTCGTGAGGTCATCTAGCGGTTTGGCTAAGAGATATGTCCACGGGTCCCTATGTATTGGTCTCTCTAGAACTTCCATCATTAGTTTTTCTATCTCTTCCCAGTAGCTCTCTATCTTGGGACACGTCCACCACATGTGGAGCATCCCCTCCAGCATGTGTCTGTGGGAGTTTTGCCCATTCTATGAAGTTTTACCGGGGTGGTGTACCACCTCAGGAGGGTTTTGTACGCCTGCTCCTGGAGTGTTACACACATGGATACCTTGGCTGCTGCCTCTTATATATCCTGCCAGTCCTTTCCTTCTAATGTTTGTAAATCTGTTTCTCACTGGGTAATGTATGTGAGTGGTTCTTTGTCTCTCCCTGGAGCGCTAAGCTGAGCATATAGTGAGGTTATCAATCCCTTGCATTCGGTCTCTGTCATGCATAGTTTTTCGTAGAATGTGAGTGGTGCCCTAGCTGCCTCTCGTATGCTGTGGTTTCTAGCAAAGTCTCGTAATTGGATATATCTGAAGTGGTCCCTCGTATTTAGTGGTGCGTCCTGTTTAAGGTCTTCAAAGGTCCTAAAAGTGTCCTTGTCGTACATTTGATTGTACCGTTGGAGCCCTGCGTATTCTAGCCCTTTAAAGTACCGTGCCCTCATGCCGGGTTCGAATGCTTACGGTGTAAGGGGTGAAGGTGTTCTAGTTAGCGAGTACTTTTTTGCATTGGCATCCCATATCTTAACAGAGTTTAAGATTGCTGGGCAGTCTGTGCGGAGTGTGGGCCTATCTGGTTTTGGTACCCATACCCAATATTGTGGGAGGTCCAACCTCATTATCAAGGATTCTAGATCCACCCATCAGCGTGTGTCGGGGGTGAGTGCCATTCTATTACTTGAGCTAACTGTGCCGAGAGGTAGTATATGTTAGGGATCGACCAATTATCGGTTTTACCGATATTATCAGCCGATATTCGGTATTTTTGGCAATATCGGTATCGGCCAACAAAGATACCGATATTGCCGATAATATCTCCTAGGACCGCCGGGCCCATTACAAGCCCGGCGGTCCTGGGGGACCCAGGAGCAAGCTGTTGCTTACCTCCCAGCAGCTCCCTTCAGCTCCCTGTGTAAATCCATGGCAACGCTACGCACGGCACGCAGGCTGCGAGATTTACACAGGGACCTGCTGGGAAGGTAAGTAACAGCTTGCTGCCGGGCCCCACAGTACTTAACAAGGCACCGTGGAATACATTTTTTTAAAAAGATTAAATATTAAATAAAAAAAATTCCCCCCTGCCCCATTTTACACAATTTACATCTCTACACAAAACACACACAACACACACTGCATTATATACACAAACACACTGCATTCACTTTACCCACACTACAAAAACTCTCTGCAATCACTATACACACATTACACAAATACTCACTGCATTCACTATACACACTACACAAACACACTCTGCATTCACTATATATACACACTACACAAACACACACACTGCATTCACTATATATACACACACACTACACAAACACTCACTGCATTCACTATACGCACACACACACACACTCTGCATTCACTATACACACTACACAAACACACACACACTCTGCATTCACTATATACACTACCCAAATACTCACTGCATTCACTATACACACTACACAAACACACTCTGCATTCACTATATATACACACTACACAAACACTCACTGAATTCACTATATATACACACTACACAAACACACACTCTGCATTCACTATATATGCACACATTAGACAAACACTCACTGCATTCACTATACACACACTGCATTCACTATATATACACTACACAAACACACTTTGCATTCATTATATGCACACACTACACAAATACACACTGCATCCACTACACACACTACAAAAACACACACAGCTCCTCTGTCTAAACACACTGCATCCACTACATGTGGCATGTATATGTTGTGCATTTACCTTTAGAATTAGTTTATTTTTTCAAAATGGTAAATATACCGAATATCGGCAAGTTATCGGCTATCGGCCTGAAAGTTCTCCGATTATCGATATCGGCTCTAAAAAAATCAATATTGGCCGATTCCTAGAATATGTATAAGTTGGGTAGGGGTAGCCCTAGCCCTTATTTCTCAACTTTTGCATGGCATTTTAACTTTAAATGGCGTTATATTGTTAGCTTTAACTGCAATAAAATACACATATTTGTATTCTGTGACGTCCCACCAGTACAATAATTCCCCTCAAAAATGGTTTTATGGTGTTTTGGAACATTACAGTATCAAATATAGGACTTGCCCATTTCAGTTTTTACACAATGAAATTTGCCAGATTGGTTTGCGGGGCATATGTTGCAGAGACTTTATGGCAGCCCAGCAATGAAAATCACCCCCATCATGGCATACTATTTGTAAATTTAGACAACCTAGGCTATTCAAAATGGGGTATGTCCGAGTCTTTCTTAGAAGCCAATTAGTCACAAACACTGGCCAACGTTAATGTTTGCGTTTTTCACACAAAAACTGCACTTTCACGGATGATATCATCACTATGTATTATTGCTCTAAAACACTTATATTTGTGTTCAGTGATATAGCACAAGTACAACAGTACTCACCATTTAACCAAACATATAAAAAGTGGAGCAATCAATTTTTAGGTGAGAGTTCAAGCACCAAAATTAAAGTTGTATAAATACTTATACAGCCAGCAGATGGCGCTCGACAATCATCAAGTCAGATAGCACATGAAGAAAAAAAAAAAGATAACGGTGCAGAACATTTTGCAATAATAAAATTAATAATAGCGCAGATCTTAGAATAGCTGCAGTAATGACTGAATAAAATACACAATAAAAAAATGACATATATGAGTGTCAAATAGCTGAAATAAACAATAGCTTTGTTATATAACACAGATAGGAAAAAAAAAAAAGGATCAAAATGATCCACTGCCGCTTACAGGGATCATATGTGAGTATATGTGGAACATCCAGCCGGTACTCACAAAACATGCTTATATAGAGAAGTTGCGGTCTCCCTCCACGGGTGTTTTCATGCTTTCGCTTCCCTGAAGTTGGTAAAATTCAGTCTTCTCAAATGCAGTAAATGCCAATCTTATCTTGTGACTCTGCTCACTACTTGTACCCACCATGTACAGGTTTTATCAGGTTTTGGAAAGTTGCAGGATCATATTTAGGGCTTGCCCATTACAGCTTTTTACCTGGAAATTTGACTAAGTGATTTTCTGGGCCTATGTCACCTTTGATAATAACACCTAGGTAATAACATTTCCACTATTATGGCATACCATTTTACAAAGTAGGCAACCCAGAGTATTACAAATTGCTTATTCTAAGAGGTTTGGTCTAGCCCTTTTATCACAAATCATGGCCCCATTTAGTGGTCATGTATTTTTTTGTGCTTGTTCACACACATGAATTCTATTTTCACATGAAATTTCATAGTCCGGACAGGAGTTAGTGCAATAAAGCCATATTTTTTATTTCATTTTGTCTAACAATAACAATACTCCCATGTACAGTTTTTTTCTATTTATGGCAAGTCACAGGAAGGGTCAGCCCAAGACATTGTGCTGCCTGGGTCCAAGACTCAAATGCTGTTTTCCCCTCACAGATAGACACACACAGTCACAGATTCACTCACAGACACAGTCATAGATTCAATCACAGACAGGGCCAGTACAATATATATATATATATATATATATATATATATATATATATCCTGTTCCAAATTATTATGCAAATGATATTTTTTCTCATTTACATAAATAATTGATGTAAATAACAGTCAGCATAATTCTCATGTTATCAACTATTAAGAGTACAATTCAAATTTTATTGAACAAACCTAATGATAACAGTATTTGTTTTAAACATAAAAAAATTACAATGCACTGTTCCAAATTATTACGCACAGTACATTTCAAAACACTTTATAGGTTGTAAAGAACTGAAGATTGTCATTTGTTGTGTTTGCAGCATATTTACTGAAATCAAAAGCTATTTCAATCAAACATAACAACATTTTAACTTTTTAAACATTTTAACAGGTCACGTTACATTTTAACATAGGACCCCTTATTTGACAGCAGCTTCACAAGTCTTGCATCCATTGAACTTGTGAGTTTTTGGACAGTTTCTGCTTGAATATGTTTGCAAGATGTCAGAATAGCCTTCCAGAGCTTCTGTTTGGATGTAAACTGCCTCTCACCCTCATAGATCTTTTGCTTGAGGATGCTCCAAAGGTTCTAAATAGGATTGAGGTCAGGGGAGGATGGAGGCCACACCATGACTTTCTCTCCTTTTATTCCCATAGCAGCCATTGATGCAGAGGTATTCTTTGCAGCATGAGATGGTGCGTTGTCATGCATGAAGATGATTTTATGTACCAGGGAAGAAAGTGGTCAGTCAGAAACTCCACATACTTTGCAGAGGTCATCTTTACACCTTCGGAGACCCTAACGGGGCCGACCAGCTCTCTTCCCATGATTCCGGCCCAAAACATGACTACACCACCGCCTTGCTGACGTCGCAGCCTTGTTTGAACAGGGTGGCCATCCACCAACCATCCACTAGTCCATCCTTCTGGACCTTCCAGGGTTGCACGGCACTCATCAGTGAAAAAGACTGTTTGAAAATTAGTCTTCATGTATTTTTCTGCCCAATGCAGCCGTTTCTGCTTGTGAGCATTGGTTAGTGGTGGCCAAATAGAAGGTTTATGCACAGTTGCAAGACTCTGGAGGACTCTACACCTTGATGTCTTTGGGACTCCAGAGGCACCAGCAGCTTCAAATATCTGTTTGCTGCTATGTAATGGTATTTTGGCAGCTGCTCTCATGATCCGATGCATGGATCTGGCAGAAATGTTCCTCAATGTGCCTTTATCTGCACGAACCCATCTGTGCTCTGAATCAGCCATAAATCTCTTAATAGTGCGATGATCACGCTTATGTTTTCATGAAATATCTAATGTTTTCATACCTCGTCCAAGGCATTGAACTATTTCATTATTTTCGGCAGCAGAGAGATCCTTTTTTCTTTCCCATATTGCATGAAAATGGTGCTCTGCTTAATAATGTGGAACACCCTCCTTTAGTAGTTTTTCCTTAAATTGGGCTCACCTGGCAATCTAATTATCACAGGTGTCCGAGATTGTTTTCAGTGATCAAAAGAGCCCTGAGACACAATGCCATCCATGAGTTAAACTGAAAAACAAAATATTTAATCTTTGTGACACTTAAATAGAATTTGCATAATAATTTGGAACAGGGTGTATATACACATACATATACAATCTACAACAAAATACAGAAAAAAACCCAAATAGTGGAATACTGCAATACACCATAAAAAGGGGGGCATGAGTATATTGCACTCACAAACTGGAAATTGATAGCAGGCATATAACAGTTTGAATGACTTCAGCACCTTCTTTCCTTTGCTCCATTTATGTATAAAAAAGGAAAGAGAGGGGGGCGGGGCCTGCGTGGCGGAAAAACCAGCCCCGGCCATGCAGCCTAAAATGGACCGGGGCCTGAGGTCCGGAGGAGGAGGCCGACCTCCCGACACGGGCTACGCGCCTAAACGAGAACCCACGGCAGTCCTGCTACCCCCTCCCCCCCCGGACCTGCTGGGGATAACCCGGTCCTTGCGGGGGAGGAATAATAGCGACAATACCTAAAGCAAAGCGGACTCACCAAGGCCCGCCCAAGATGGCGGCACGGACAAGATTCACAGGTCGATGATGAGACAAATGGGGGCATGGATCCGCCTGGCAACCCAGCGCCAGCTAGGCGGGAACCCCCCTCCCCCCACCGTACCTCCAGAGCAGCTCCCAATGGGAGCCCCTCTCAAGCGACACCTGCAAAGCACTCACCAACCCAGCCTCTCAGTGCCAGGCGCAGCATAACATGACCTCCCGCCACCAGCACTGCAAATCGAGAGACCAAGCATCAGTGTACCCCTCAGGACGCCATCAAAGCTGGATCCAGATACGGAGGCACCTTGCCCAGAGTTTCCAAGAGAGTCACTTGTAGAGGCGGCCGGGACTTCCCGACACTGGACATAGGCTGAAAGCCCCAACGTAAAGCCCAACAAGGACAATGCTTCACATCAACTGATGACTCTAAGTTTTTTTTTTTTTTTTTGTCTTTTATACATAGACCTATGATGCTTTGTAACAGCCGCCATTTGGCTCTAAAGCGGCCACATGGCCGCAGCTATGGGGAGGTAAAAGCGCCTGCCTGCTTGCCTAGCAATTACCTGCTTCCCAGTATAGGTTTTATCTTCTTCCCGACTCTTATAAGCATCTTATAAGCATGTAGCTAACTCTGTTTTAATTAACCACCCACATGTATAGCTTCACATAATCAGACATACATGTATAGCCTGGAACCCAACTATAAAACGAGTGTACTAACATTAAACTTTTGTTTAAGTTAACATTTATCTACTATGCCTTAACAGGCATACTTCTCCTAGATTCTCACTCTGGCTAAACAACCCCATGCTGTCAGTTAAAGTTTCTAGAGCTTAGTCTATTGTCAAATTATTGCTTACTGACATAGTTTTAACGTATCATCTATTTGCTATATACCTAAAAATTGTGTCTAGCTTGATCCAACATAATAATAACAACAACAAAATGTGCAGATTCCAAGTGCCAAATTGAATGTTTGTTGCTTACTCTAAGAGTGCTGTTGTGGCACTTCACATATACCTGTATTTACCTTGCACAGAAAAAATTAAGAATTTAAAAAAATTAAAAAATTTAAAAAAAAAAGGAAAGAGAGGAGAGACAAGCACATAGTGCAAGACTGTGTAAAGGTAAAATCTGAATTTATTACAAGTAAAATGATAAGCTCATCGATAAACACTTCACCAAGTCCGAAGGAATAGGTCAAATCCCCTGGAGCAGTGTAGAGTTGATCCACGTCCAAAGGCAAGGTTAAGGTTATAAGAGCAAAATGTGTCTGTCTGTGACTGTGTGCAGTCGGTCTTCCTTCTACATGGTCGATGCCTTGGGGTCTTGCCACTGTTAGCCCTTGGCCCAGGTGGGCTAGTGGTATAGAAGGCTTGCACTTTTGAAAGGTGAAGGCCCGAGGTAGGCCCACTCACTGCCATATCTCCACCTTTCCAGATTCCCTCTCGAGGCTGAGGTACCATGGCTGCTTGGTGAGGCCTCCAGAGAGGCCCAGAAACGATTAACCCCTTAAGGACACATGACGTGTGACATATCATGAGTCACTTTTATTCCAGAAGTTTGGTTCTTAAGGGGTTAAAGGATCACTATAGTGTCAGGAAAACAAACCTGTTTTCCTGACACTATATAATCCATGAGGGACCCTCACCCTCAAGGTCCCCCTCCCGTGGCGCTGTAGGGGTTAAAATTCCTTCAGTCACTTACCTTAATACAGCGCCGGGCTCCCTCGACGCTGGTGACCTCTCCTCCCCCAGCCGACGTCAGCTTCCGAGTAGAGCGGAATGCGCGGCAAGAGTCATGCACGCATTCTAACACTCCACAGGAAACATTTCTCAAGTGGTCTGGGTGACTATAGTGTCCCATTAAACATGTCCCCTAGCTTCTGCAGAGATTGCTTGACACTGTCGGAGTATTCCTTTGCAGGCTGAACTGTCCCTGCGCCATGTGGTGGAGGCATGGCCACCATCTTTAACATAGGAGCCCTATTCCGTACTAGATCCAGTACAGTATCCTAGTGCCTCAACAAAAAGAGGAAAAGGTGATAACCCACACCGGTCCAAAGGTGGGGGGGGAGAACGGGTTTGCAGATTATGGTTGCAAGATTACCGCAGTATGTCGAGCGGAAAAGCGGCCATCTCACATGCCCGGCGTCCACACCAGGCCCTGCCGGGACCCCCAGGAAACGTATTAGTTATTTGGGAGAACTGAGGCACTCCAGCCGGTCTCTGGATCATGTAAGTGGCAAGGGGTAACTCTGTGGCGATTTGGGAAGCGATAATTCCTTCGAATTCTAAGATTTGGCACAGAGCACACACAAGGCACATCCAGCCGCCATGGAGCTCAGGCCCAGCCCCAGGCATTATTTTTTTATTAAAATAAATTTTCCTAATCTTCTGTGGTCCCAAAGGTTTCTTTAGGCAGATTATATAGTTTTGTATCTGGTGGTCTGGTGCGAGTAGGTATGAATTTTTATTTCTTATTTTGCCATTAGTGGGCTACTTCAGACAGTCCAGGTCACCAATGGGTATGCAGGACGGCCCGAACCTCCGTGGATTCTATATCCTGCTGCATCTGTCCGTCTCCTAGCAGCATTGAGGCAAGCTCCTGGAGCTTCCGGGGAGCCCCGGTCGTCGCGAGGTCTTGGGCCGCGTGCGGCTTGGTAGGAGTGCTTAAGTCTGCTCTTGGAAGGTGGTCTCCGTGAGGGGGCTCTGCTCAGTTACCTCCTCTGGCACCTGGGTGAGGTACCGCTCCGCCTCGGCGGGGTCGGTACAGACCGTTGAGCTGCAGGAGGTGTGTGGTTTAGCTTGTTTGCCCCCATCTGCTTCTCCGCAAGCCTTCTCCAGAATTCCTCAAAGATTTTGTCCAGCTTCGTTAAGGTCGAATCTATCAGTCCACGTGGTGTAGTGAGAGGCCCGCCATCCACCAACTTGGGTCAGCTGGGGGGGGTCAGATTCATGCCGCAGCATGTGTTTGTGCTGGGTAACAGGTCCACCAGTGACCGGTGAGTGCGGCTTGGGTGATGGGGTCGGGATAAACCCCGTTGGCGGGGGGGGGGGACAGGCTTAAGCTTGTTCCTGCAGGAGAGCGAGCGGGGAGATCGGCCGCCTCTCCCACACTTTCACCCGCAAGTAGGCTGCATTGGTGTTTTAGGCTCAAACTGCCTGACATGCGTCAGTGACGCTTTGGGTTAAGGCAGGGTTGATTATATGCCAAAAAGAGAAAAGGAATAGGCGCTCACTAAGATAACTATAATTTATTTGATTATAGGCTGTCTCCAGCTCATAGATTGCCTTTTTTTATGGTTCTGAAAAGTCAATATTAGTGAAGTTTCAAAAGATTTTTAATGACTTCATCATGATCATGATCGCTTCCAGACGCTCTAAGGGTATTGCAGCGATGCCTCGATGTCGAGGCATCCTGCAATACCAGCCCTCACTGCCGGGCCGCCAGGTGATCGCTCCCCCGGAGCTTCCAATGCTCTGCCTGTGTGTGCTGTGTGTGCTGAGCACCTCAACAGGCCAGACAATCACCCCTCTGCAAAATAGGACCCCAAGAGCCATGTGATCGCTCTAATGGAGCGATCACATGGCCGCCATAGGCGTCCATAGTGTTGTCTGCAGGGGGACTGCCTGAACTGTCAGGCAGCCCCCCTGCTGGTGAAAAAAGTTTTAAAATAAAAAAATTAAGTTATTACAGTAAATAAAATATATAAATAAAAAATATATGTATGAGATATATATATATTATATATATAATATGTGTATATATATATATATATATATATATATATATATATATATCATATATAACGTCATACTAAGTGTATTTTTTTATTAATATATACATATATTAAGATTAAAATTACACACGTAATAATATATAATAAGTATATATATTGTGTAAATTAAAAAATTTTAAAACAATTTTGACAAATTATATATATGTAATTTTATTCTGACTGTATTTTGATATTAATATATATTTATATAAAAATACACTTAGAATGAAATTATATATATATATATCTCAATGTATATATAAATAAATAAAAATTATACGAAATATACATATGTCCATATACATAATTACATAAATAATTTCATATACACGTAGACTTCAAATATATAAATATGTATATATATCTAAATTCTACATGCATATGTATGGAATGTGTTTACATAATGAAGTAATTAATTATTAATAAGTAAATAAGTAATAATTAACCATTATATTTAACCCCGTAACTTTCCAAGACACCCTAAAACTTGTACATGGGCGTACTGTTTTACTCGGTAGACTTCGCTGAACACAAATATTAGGGTGTCAAAACAGTAAAACATATCACACTGAAAGTGAATTTGTATGCATTTTTCACACACAAACGGCACTTTCACTGATAATATTGTTGTGATACGTTTTACTGTTTTGAAACACTAATATTTGTGTTCAGGGAAGTCTCCCGAGTATAACAGTATCCGCCATGTACATGTTTTATAGTGTTTTTGAAAGTTACAGGGTTAGATATAAGGTTCAGTTTTCTGTTGTTTCACATTGAAATTTTCCAGGTTGGTTATGTTGTCTTTGTGTGCATAAGGTAGCCCAGGAATGAGAATTACCCCCATGATGGCATGCCATTTGCAAAAGAAGACAACCCAAGGTATTGCAAATGGGGTATGTTCAGTCTTTTTTAGTAGCCACTTAGTCACAAACACTGGCCAAAGTTAGCGTTCATAATAGTTTTTTGCATTTTTAACACACAAACAAATATAAATGCTAACTTTGGCCAGTGTTTGTGACTAAGTGGCTACTTAAAAAGACTGGACATACCTCATATTGAATACCCTGGGTTGTCTACTTTAAAAAAATATGTACATGTGAGGTGTGATTCAGGGATTTATGACAGATAACAGTGTTACAATTGATACATTTTAAAAATTGTACTTATAGCCCTATAACTTTCCAAAAAAAGCTAAGATCATGTTAACATTGAGTATTTCTAAACTAAGGACAACATTTTGAAATTATTTAGCATGGGTGTTTTTGGCGGTTTTAGGTGCATAGATTTTGGGGGTCAAAGTTAGAAATGGGGTGTTTTTTAAAAACTTTTCATCATATTTTATCATTTTTTTATAGTAAATTATATGATATGGTGAAAATAATGGTATCTTTAGAAAGGTAATTTAATGATGAGAAAAACGGTATATAATATGTGTGGGTTCAGTAAACACAAACACCGCAGAAATGTAAAACCAGCACTGGTCCTCAACGGTAAGAAAATTGAAAAACAGTCTGGTCACTAAGGGGTTAAATAGTTTTAATGTTGTGGCTGATCAGTGTATATACATACAGACTTTTTTTTTTTGGGTAAGGGGGTTTAAATACAAAGTAAAATGTTGACATTACAGACACAGATTTGTTCTAACATCACACCACACAGAAACGATACATCCTTGCATAATGGAAACTTCTTTTCAAATGAAATCTACTCTTACAGACAAATGTGTAAAGAATGGGTCTCGTTATGGTTAAAAATATTGGAGTGCAGGGGGCGGGGCTTGCTACCCGACACGAGCGGAGGCCATTTTCCACAGCTTCCAAGCCCTGTGGACAAAATCCATTGAAATCAGTCTTTCTCTGACCCATCCAACCTCGCCACACGCACTATCGGCATCAGCTCAACGGGCCGCATCTCCTGATGCCTTTTTTCCAACCGCAGCGGCAGCAGAAACGGAGAAGCAAAATCGGGGCCTACTATACCCCAACGAGCCTGGGCCTCGAGGACCTGTTGAGAGGATACTCGGCCGAGCACATAGACACCTCCTGCGCCCCGGACCCATCCACAGCTCTGACTCATATGCCGGCAATGGGACGCCGATCACAAAGGCCACAAGGTACGGCTGGTGGCAGGGATATTGGGACTATGCTCCAAAAGCCTACCCAGCCCAAACCCAAACCAGCGGCAGAAACGCTGGAGGCTACCCTGGCACCTACCACACCCCAACAACGGCAAGAACCACCGGAGCCCCCACAGACCCCCAAAACAGAATTACAGGGGCCAGAACTTACTGGGCAGCACCAAAATCAGCAGCCGCACACCCGGGCACCACAAGGCCCGGACTCCCAGGGACCCCCAGGGGCAATACAGCCTGAAAGGGTACACAACCCACCACAAACCGGACCTGACGTACAAGGGCACTTACAAGCACCACTACAGCCACTGTTGGAGTCCCCGGATGACTCTGCACCAACCACCAAACGTGACTTAAAGCTCCTTCTAGCAGACATCCATAAGCTCCTAGCAGCTGACTCAGCCCTTCTGAGGACCGAACTGCGCACGGTCACGGAAAAGGTGAACACCACGGAGGCAGAAGTAGTGACGGTACATGCTCACATAAACACGATGGAAGACTCCATCAAACAAATCCAGCAACAACAAACGTACCTGTCACTCAAAATGTCAACCATGGAAGATCGACAACGCCGCTCACACATAAAAATCAGGGGCATCCCTGCAGAGATATCGGCCGAAGAGCTGCCGCATTACACCAGACGCCTACTAGCTACAGTACTCCCACACACAGCAGTAAAGAAAATGATCATAGATGGGGTATACCGCTTGCCTACCCCTCCCCACCTAAAGACCCCAACGGCCAGAGACGTCATCCTCAGATGTGTCACAGTACAAGACAAACTACATATAATGGCTGGGCTGAAAGGCAAGACACCGCTGCTGTTTGAGAACTCTTCCCTGGCGTTCTTCCAGGACCTATCAAAGGCCACCCTCATGTGGCGCAAATCGTATGGACCACTCACCACACAACTCCGAGCAGCGGGAATTGCATACAAGTGGGGCACTAACGGGACTCTGGAAGTAACCCAAGAAGGCACTACCCATGTCCTAACCTCCGTGGAAGAAGCACCTATTCTCCTAACCGCTTTGAAATTACCCAACCCGATGCTTCCACCACGAAAAAGCCCGCAAATGGAAGTACGGGATCCCAGGAACAACGCCCAGCCGGAACCGAGACCCAGCGGATCACAACACCCTGTACCATGACTGAAGTGGACTGACACCGCAGACTTTGCCACCGGGACTGGTGCACACATATTTTGATTTCATTCCGTGACTTTATTTACGTTTTATACTATTTACTATTTAGCCTCCGCTAACAATTCCCAAACACCACAGGCCATTGCTGCACTCACCCTCTCTACGCCAATGAGAGCCAACATATCACACATCCAACCACAGGGCGCCTGACAAATCACCCCCCCCCCTCCGCAGCCCCCTTGGTTAGGGGTAATCAACCCAAAACACGCTATCTACGACAAACAGCTCACCTCCACTAACGCATGCAGACACCTATACTCAGCACAACACAGCGAGTCTGACCATGAAACATGGAACTGACGCAACCTTGCTACTACACGACTCGAACACCTACTCAATCTTCACATAGGGTCCCATCACCACCAGACCTACTCTAGACAGGAGCTACTGATTTACAGCAAAGTCCTATCCCAACACAAGAACGCACAAAACATCATAACACCTAAATAATGAATACTGTTTTGTTTTAACATGTTACTGTTTAAAAAATTTGCTATTGCTCGACCCAAAACGGTGCAAACTATGAACGGTACCGAACCTCAACTTTTTAACAATCTGTACAATCTAAATGTTGCACCAAAAGTGGAAAAATAAAGAATTTAAAAAATAAATAAAAAATAAATATTGGAGTGCAAAATTTAAAAAACGCTCCCCACTTTACCCATTAATGATTACGATCTGATCAAATGCCTGGTAATCGATTAACAAATGTATTTATTTGTATAGTGGTTTAATTAGTTAGTTCGGCATAGCTGAACAAAATTTGTGCACCAGTTTAATGACTATTCTCCATTAATCATTATACTTGTGCACAAATAAGTATCAGCTGCCATGAACAAATTAAATGCCTTTTAAACTGCATCCGAACGAATTGAGATTTATGTGGAATTAATGAATAAGACTCCATAGGTAAATCTTGGGACGGATTGATTTGTCCAAGCACAGATTAAAAGGCATTTGACTTGTTCATAACAAGTGAAACTCATTTGCACACAAGTCTGTTAATGATATTCAACTTATATTCTATGATAGGGGAATATCTGTGTAGTTATACCACTGGAACTCAGCAAACAGCAATTTGGAGGTTCCCCAGACCACCATTACCATGGCCATAACGTGCTCTGGACTTCACCAGTCTTTTTATACGTGTAGTCATCTGTGCGGTGTTAAACAATGTGTAGGCACTTTGTATTTAAAATGCACTGAAGCATAGTAAAGACTAGGAACACCAGATGTTATGGACTACGCCTCCTCTGATGCTCTGTGAGCATTAAGGGATATGTAGTCCATAAAATCTGGAGATTCAAAGGTTGTCTAGTCATGTTATGGACCATGGTTAGCTGGGATTGGTGTTGTGTGTGCTAAGGCTTAGTCTTGTTAAGAACTTTCAAACAAAGCAGAGGTTGCTAAATAATTACATCTCCCATGATGATTTTCCAAACGTAAGGCTTTCAGAACGCCAAGGGCGGTTAAGTAACATCTGTGGATCTACTTTGGCCAACACGAAACAGAGTCTTATCGTTTTATTGTGACCACTAAAATTTTTGTATAGTAGATTAAAAGTGATTGCGGTGTTGTAATTTCAAAGTTGTAACAAGCACAATTTTGACGTTGCTAACACTTAAGCGAACAAAAAAGAAAAGGGTAATTTGCAAATAATTACATTTTCATGTTACCATTCAAAACACATTTTACCTCTCACCTTAGTGTTACTCCATTTCCCCTCATCAAATAGATCTCCAAGAATGAAAACAATATCCGGTTGCAATAACCACAGAGCACTCTGATACGACCTCTCCATCTGCCATTCCCTTCAAAACAAAGGGCAAAAGCATGTAAAAAAAAAAAAAAAAAAGATGTTTTTAGAATATTCAGTAACAGTTGATTATACTAAATATCACAAATGGAGGAAACCATATGAGAAAATTGGAGAATGGAGGAATGGTGAGAAACCCAAGAACAGCTCATAACGGCAGACAGGATGACATCACAGTGTCACACCCCAAATATGTAGCATTGAAAAAAAAGAAGCAAAGTGATCAAAGCATTACTTTTCAAATAACAAATGTATCAAAGTGTAATTGGTATTGCCCAATTGTATGTTTATACTGCTATCCCTACCTGGAACCTGATGGGTAGAAAGGTGTGATTTTTTATTTTGAGAAATGGTTGTTTGGGCTGAGGTTTGTTTTACAGGCACATAGCCCTTTGTATTAAAGAGATACCTTTTATATATTGGTATGGTTCACTTCTTTGTCATAGTTCTAACATTTTATAGTACAAGAATGTATCTGCTTGTCTGATTTAGTTCTAAATGGGTTGTAATCTATTGTATTAACAATATGGGCAACATGCATACTCTTTTCAAAACCATTGTTTTTGTCACGTATGGAAAGATTTCTTTGGATAACCTCTAGGTAGGTTATTCTTTAGGAAAAGGATAAAAGATAATTTTTTCCCTATAGGAAGTGATAGAATATATCCCATAGGCAGACTTATCTCTACTTCAAAACGCCTGTTATCAATGTAGATTCTTAGTAGACTATTTGTTCACAAATCTTTTTAAGTTAGAAAAGTGTACACCACTTGTAGGATTTGATATGGTTTCTCGTCCTGACAACTCTTTGGGCTTCCATTTATGATGTGGTTTAATGCTATAGAAAACTTTGAAAGTGGGTTCAGAGACCATATCATGGTACTTTATCTGTGGACAATATTTGTCTAGGTCAGTGATGGCGAACCTTTTTGAGCCCGAGTGCCCAAACCGCAATACATGCCAGCTTTTTTTTTTTTTATTAGTATCTCCAACAAATGCCATACATACACACAGAATGCTGAACACATTCAAACACTGACTGCTTAATACACACACACACACCGACACACAGAATGACTGCTAAATACACACACACACAGACTGCTAAATACATACACACAGTCCACTAAATACAAACACACAAACATACACACAGTCCGCTGAATACCCACAGACTGCTGAGTACATGCACACAGTCTGCTGAATACACACACACACATACTACATTAAGGGGTGCAGTGTATGTGTTTGTGAGGTGCTGTGTGTGGGGGGTAAGGTGCTGTGTGTGGGGATTAGGGGGGAGAAGATGCATTAAAAAAAATAATTAACAAAGTCTTTGTTTTGGCACCACTTACACTTTGGACTTTGTTAGTTTTAGCTGTACTCAGCTGTACTATTCAGCTTTGGCGCAACCTTCTTCTGTCTTGTGTATTACTTCAGTAACAACAACCTGTACCCCCCTAGGGAGAATCCCCAGTTTGACAGGATGTATAAAATACGCCCCCTAATTACCCACTTCGCTGCCAGGTTTGCAGAGGCTTATACACCTGGAAGGAATATATGTGTGGATGAATCCCTAATGAAGTATAAGGGAAGGCTGGGATTCAAGCAGTATATTCTTTCCAAGCGATCCAGGTATGGTGTAAAGGTGTATAAGTTCTGTGATAGCGAGACAGGGTATACTCAGGCCTTCCGGGTGTACGAGGGAAAGGATAAAGGATACCCCACCTTGACCCTTCATGTTGCCCAGAACATATGTGAACCAGTTTCAATATTCTCTGGGACCTGATATGAACAAAAGGGTACCACTTGTATACAGAGACCTCAGCTCTGCGCCAAGAGGAGCTGTTGGCAGTTAAATACAGAAACAAGAAGGATGTGTACCTTCTTACCACCATCCACACTGAGGGGACTGTGGAGGTCTCTGTACGTGGCAGAGCTGAGAGCACAAGGAAGCCAGTGTGCATCAAGGCCTATAAACGGCATATGGGTGGGGTTAATCTGGAAGACCAGCAACTGCAGCAACACCTATTTATACGGAAGACAAGGGACTCGTACAAAAAGGTTGCAATTTACTTAACGCATATTGCAACCCACAACGTTTTTTTTGTTGTTTAAAAAAGCAAACCCCGGAATGCAACTGACTTTTTTACAGTTTCAGCTCCAGATCATTTCGGGGATTTTGTACCGTAATGCACCTGCTCCCCGGGCGGTGATGGGAAAGGGCAGATTTGGGGCTACACATCTGATTTTTTTTTTTTAAAAGTCCCCCTACTGCGGCAAAGCAAAATCCCCAAATGCAGAGTCTGTTTTAAGAGGGGGCAGAGAATAAAATACTGTATCTTACGGTCCTGATTGCCCTGGACAGCCTGGACTCTGCATTGGGGACTGCCTCAAACAATACCACACAATGGTGCACTTTAATATTTTTTTTAACATTTGCCGTTCAGTTTTTTTTTTTGTTACGTTTACCCTATGTATGGGGGGCATGGGTGTACTCTGGAGGCCTTGCAGAAAACAACCTAAAGTGTTTTCTTGCAATAACCAACAACAGGCTATCCTAAATCACAGTCCAAAAGCAATGTGTATGTAAAAATGAATATTGAAAAATTACCACCACACACTTTCTCCAATTTTGGGGGCTAAAACGGTTGCATCAAAGCACTCCATACACAATACCTCAAATTACATGTCATACAATTGTAACTGTACCTTCCCAAAATCCTTGCAAACCTATGCATGGGTGTACTCAGGAGGCCTTGCAGAAAACAACCTGGAGTGTTTTCTTGCAATAACCAACCAACCAAGAGGCTCCCCTAAATCACACAAAAAATGTGTATGTAAAAATGAAAATTGAAAAATTACCACCACACTTTTTCTCTAATTTTTTTACTACAACGATTGCATCAAATGCATCAAAACACTCCATATACAATACCGTGGAGTGTCAACTTTTCAAATATATGCATGCTGATGGCAAGAAAATAAATTGGGATATCTAAAAAGGCCCCCAAAAAGCAGATAGGCAAAGAAGATATGTCAAATCTCAAAAACACACGTCAGAAGTTTGGCATTGCACCCAACAAACCTATGCATAGGTGGTATCACTGTACTCAGGAGATGCTGCTGAACACATATTGGAAAGTATTAGAATACCACCATTTAAAATAGCCTATAGCCTCTACTTTTCAAAAGTATATGGTTTGAGGGGGGTAAATTACATTGGCCGGCTTCAAAATTGTCCCAAACAGGACATGGGTGCATGATGACCAGCTGTGAAAATTCCAAGTTGGAAAACTGGAATATGCACCCTCCAAAAAAGGTCTTTTAGCCCCCAGAGAACCAGACACACCTGTACATGGGTGGTATCACTGTACTCAGGAGATGTTGCTGAAAACATATTGGGGTGCTCTTTGGCAGTAACTCATACAGTTCTCAGTACATGTGTTCTTAAACTGCAATGTGTGTCACAAAATCACCAATTATTATTATAAATCTTTTTTTTTTTTTTTTTAATTGGCATAGATTGGTGGTAAAATGGGTGCATGAAAAGAGTCAAAATACCCCAAGTTTAATACCTTAGGTTGTCTTCTTTTAAAAAATATATACATGTAAAGGGTTATTCAGGGGTTCCTGACAGATATCAGTGTTACATGCGTTAATTTTGGAGAAAAAAAAAATGGTTTGGAAATAGAAAAGTGCTATTATAGCCCTATAACTTGCACACAAAAAAAGAAGCTAAGAACATGTTAAAATTGGGTATTTCTGAACTCAGGACAAAATTGAGAAACTATTTATCAAGGGTGTTTTGTGGCGGTTGTAGATGCGTAACAAATTGTGGGGGGTCAAAGTTAGAAAAGGTGTGGGTTTTTTTTAATTCTTTTTTTTTTTAATTTTATGATTTATTTTATAGTAAATTATATGATATGATGAAAATAATGGTATCTTTAGAAAGACTATTTAATGGCGAGAAAAACAGTATATAAATATGTGTGGGTACAGTAAATGAGTAAGAGGAAAATCACAGTTAAACACATATACCGCAGAAATGTAAAAAGAGCCCTGGTCCTTGACCGTAAGAAAATTGAAAACGGTCTGATCACTAAAGGGTTAAACGACAATAATTGTATTTAAAAATCAGTCTGACAGGAGAGTTAAGTAGTTTTTGTTTGAAATTACATTTTAAGTTTCATAAATTATTCATAAGGCACCTAAAATAGTACCACCCCTGGCTACATCCCTAGGATTAAGGTGTCCTTTTTTGTGAATATGAAATGTAGGGTGGTATGTTTTTGGTTGGTATTTCAACTTACCACTGTGCCTATAACTAAATGCATTACATTCACATCTGCCTTTAGTATGCTTATTTTATGACTAATGTTAATATCTTTGCATTGTTAAATGTTAAATAGGGACTGAAAAATTATCCATGGTTATGCATTCTAAGTCCTATAGGACTATAATTTTTAGACAAAATCTGTATAGGTGTACCAAGGATTTTTTTTAATCTATTCTAAGCTATTTCAAGACTAATTTCAGATTGTTATAGCTCATTACATACTTTATATTATAACAGGTCTCCCTTTTGCTTTAGGTGATCTGCATGTCGTTTTATTAAAATGAGTGGATATTACATTTTATCCTGCCCTATACTTTATTTTGCCTCACTGTATGCAAGGTTTGGTAGGTGGTCTGGTGAGTTTTCATTCTACAACATCAACTTTTTATCTACAAGATAGGGTATTCTAGTACGTTGATCAAAATACAATCAAGGTACAGTTAAATAATGTATATGGGCTTTAAGTGTAGTCTCCTATCTTAAATTTGAAGGTATTCACCTCCAAGTTGGTTTAGGAATTACAGCTTTTTAAAATGTAGCCCCCACTTTTTCAAGGGACCACAGGTAATTGGACTTAAAAACTTTTTCATAGACAGGAAAATGCATATAGACTTGTTGCTGATTTTTCTGAGGATCGGTTAATTAATGAATTTGTGAAAAAATTTCAAGATCTAGATCCAACTGCAATTGTGTTAGCTAGAGAAAAAAGCACTTTGACAGAAGTTGCTTTGTTCTTGGATAACTTAAGGAGAGAAACCAATAATGAAGGGGTTAAAATTACTTGTGGAATGAGGCAGAGAAAGAAACTCAGACCTGACACCCCTCGTCCCCCTCCTCCTCCTTGGTGGACTCAATGTAAAAGAGTGATACAGACAGCTGAGCCCCTCCCAATTTGTTCAACTAGAAACTGCACCGTTGATAATCAAAGGCAGAATATAACTCCTAAAATGATTTGTTTTTGGTGCAATAAACAACATTATTTAAGATCTTGCAGATATTTTATCCGAGCTATCAAATCAAAAGCAAATGAGAAATTAAATTTGTTGATTGCAAATTTTGACAGAGAAAATACATGTGGAGATAAATCAATTAAAGCCTTTCCTTGTAAACTGATAATCAGACAAATATGAGCAATTTTAGCTAAATCAAAATTAGGAGACAGACAAGCAATGCAGTGTAACACACAAAGTTATAAGAATCAGATACATTCAAGAGATATGATCAGTTTAGGGAATGAGCATGGATATGTGTGCCAACAGAGGTACACAGGCTGATTCCAGAATTAAGAACAGCACACAAGAATAGAGATCTATGTTAGTTTGTTTTAATGAATTGTTAGTCTGAACTGTTTTTTCATTGTTTTTATGTGTGTTATAAGAAAGTATTAGGTTAATTAATTCAAATTAAAATACACATCAAGTTTGCAAATATGGCAGAATGAAATACACTAATGTAGCAGTTAGGAACATGCAATGTATGTTATATTGGGTGTATGCGATTATACAGTAACTTCAATCATTTTACAGAAGAAAAAAAAAAACAATGAATATATTCCTTGTTGCTTCTGAGGTTGATTTAAAATCTTTGATTTAATTCATGAGAATTAGATTTTAATGTCATGACTGATAATGGATTACTATATTTTGCAAAGCCTGGACATACATATGTTTTGATTATATATATGAGACAAAAGTTTTGAAAGGATAAAACCTAGATTTACAAATACATTTGATGTAGGAAACAATATACGTCTTTTGCAGTTTGTTTAATGTGACAAAATGGTGCCAGTGTTAAGACAAAATGGCTGCTATTGCTAAAGTATAGTGGAAAACAATATTTTATTGTAACATCTGATATGTGATTAGGTTATACCTCCAGATTATTAAACAGTTTAAAAGGGGGGTATGATTAATAAAAAGTTTGGAAAATTAAAATGTTCAGAAAGATTTTAATATAAAGGAAATTTAAAGATTATACATCGCATGGCATAAATGTAATGACCACTAGATGGTAGACCTCATGAGAAGAAATTAAAATGTTGTGTAGTCCATGTAATTCAATGTTAAACTGTATAATAATAATAATGAGATATAAACATTGTAAGCCATTGTATTAATGCTGCACATGTTTTTTGTTTTAATGTAGGTAAAGCGTGACAGATCCTTGTGGCAGTAAATCAGGAAAATATTCCTTCAGACAACTGGACATCGACTGTTGGAAAGAGACTTTTTATCTGATCTGCAAACCGTGATGGAAGATTCTACAGAGTTAATTTGATAAAGAAGATTAACAGACTTACAAAGAAATAAAAGATTGACACTAACATGAATATCAATTCCTAAATATTAACGAAGAAAAAAAACAGATAATGAAAAGTTATTTAAAGTTATATGAGTGTATTAATACCAAAATAGAGTACTTATAAATGTGTAACACATTGGAGTAAAATTATGATAGGATAGTATTATGAAAAGAACTATTATATTATGACCTATACATAGGATGAGAAGTATCAGAAGTAGATAAAATATGAAGTTGATAAAATAAGGATCATGGTTACTTAATTCTACAAATATTGAGTTTAATAGTATTTCATAGATTCACAATAATAAATATTTTGTTTATAATTGAGGTGAAGTAAAACAAACAATGGTAACATAAGGAAGAAAACTAAGGAAGGATAATTTATATTGATTAATATTAAGTAATGGTATACATTAAGAATGCCTTGGATATAAGAGTTCAGAGATCCAAGAGGAATTGAATTGAAGTCTATAAAGGTGTGGACTAGGGAGAATAGGTTTCTGGATATGACGGTAGCCAATGAATTGAATACGTTGTTAAGTTGTTTTATGATTACCCTGAGTTTGTTAGACACAGACTAGGAATAACAGTTTCTGGGCAGTATGATCCCAAGTTTATTTTATTTTAGTCAGTTGAAGTGTACTAAGGAATACGGATTGGTCAGAACATTAGGGCAATCCTGCTTTTAAGATGTATTACATTAATAAGTCATCACAATTCTAATGAAGAGAGTGATGCTAATGAATTTAAATTATTCTTTCCAAGTTATTTTAAAGTAAACTATGTTCTATTGAATGAAAAGTTTGTTACTACAAGGTGGAATTTTAGTGAAGAGTATAATGATGTACACAAAAACAAATCTATGATAGAAAGATTTCTGGGTGGAGAATTTCTAGAACAATAAGTATTGTCAACACCATGAGCATTATTTGAAGAATTATAAAACTTCATGTTTGATAACAACACAACCTTTGAAGGTTTGCAAACTATTATGAGTCTTAAAAGTAGTGTTGATATATTTCAGTTAGTGAGAGCCTACTGAATATACAAATTAAATACTATGATTGTAAAGTACTGATACAATTATCACTAGGTGGTATTAATGGTATAGGAATGTAATTCATGAATACAAATGACAAAGATTTTAAGGTTGCTAGAAACCATATGATTCATGGAAATATAATTGGACAGGATATACAAGCAATACATATATTAGTACTTAAGTAATATCAGGTATTGAGAATGAAAATACTATACTATATATGTCTGTAGGAATATGATAGTCATACACAGTTATTATCTAGAAAGTTATCATCTTGATTCTGTTGTCTACAAAGACATGACTGTACCTGAGCAGGTAGATCTTTCTGATTGCTTTACATTGTTTATTGGATCAACATTTGTAAATATTTTATTTTATTAATTTATTATTGATATATATGTATATATAATTTTCAAGTAGTTATGATGTAACATGGATATGGATATCAATACATAGCTGAAACAGAGTGAGTTTTGAAGTAAAGTAAGCAGTATGAGGGAAAGAATCTCGACCTTCTAAGAACTCTAATATAATAGAAAGTTGTGACTACATCTTGTTCTATGCTCAATGACTGTGATACGAGTGATGTATGAATGGACACGCTAGTGACATTGTGTTATGGTTTTAAAACAAACCATAAAGAGAGGGAATGTAGAATATTGCATATTCTATGTTTCTATTGATTATATATGGATGTGTGGATTGACATAAGTAACAGATGGTCTAAGTCACAAGGCTTTCTTTGTCCGAGAGCTCTGGAATGTGGATTTGGGGGTCTTGTCCTTATATGGCTAGAGTTAAATGCTGACGTTAGTATTAGCACATCTATATAGTAACAGAGGGACACGAGGTCGGTCTCACTCTTGGCTTGGCTCTGTACAACGATGTAACTCTCCCATCAGAAGTCCAGCAATTACCATCTGCTGTTGAATGTCCATTATCCTGTAACATCATTTGTTGTTTTATTATGTATCCGTAAGAATAAACCTGAAGAAACCGTAAGTCAGATTGCGTATTAGTACTTTTCAATAATATAGACATATATTATTGTGGCGAACATTATATTTGGCCCAAGACTATATATACAAAAGACGTATATATATATATATATATATATATATATATATATATATATATATATATATATATATATATATATATATATAGCAATCAACTGAAGACAAGAAGAAATTAAGAAGATTTAACATTGCCCATCGTTCCAACCAGATTTTACAGACGGGATCTTGATCCCTTTATTGCCCGTTTCTTCTATACTAAATTTCCTTTCTTCTTTTAGTGCCTGTGAAATAGTATTGTTCAATTAACATGGTACGGTCCGCCATTTTGGCGGCTCACGTTCCTCCTCTACTGGGGATGCCAGTAGGTCAAGACCCTCTTGTTTGTCTTCTTCATGGCATGTGAATGCGTTGTCCTCCAGGACCTAAATATGTGGACTTTGGGATATTAGTGTTGTTCTGCAATTCTTATGAGATTTGTCCCCTAGCGATTGACTATCCTTACGCAAACTTACTGCCAAGTTTACCTTTCTCCTCTGCTTGGTCTCCTTTCAACGGGTTTCGGACATTCAACGCTGAAAGCGTTTGTGTTTTGCCCGAGGAGGGGGGTTACATTTCAGGTCTCCCGCCGTACTAGACAACTTATCAGTTTTTTTATAATTTTTTTCCCTTTGGACCCTCAACTTTGTGTTATTTGGACAAAGCTATATGGAGGCTACTGCAATGTTGTGGTCTCCTTCCTCCCGTCAACATCTCATCTCTTATGTTCGGCCTTATGGTCCAGTTTCAGCCACGACTCTGGCCAGATGGGTTAATTGGCTCCTTTCCCTGGCAGGAATAGACCCACAGACATTCGGTGCGAGGAGCAGCAGCTTCCTCCACCTTTTGGCGGGCACCTAACTCCCTAACATCCTATGAACGGTGGATTGGACACGTGAATCTATTTTTTGGACTTTCTATTTCTGATATCCTTCGAACCCTTTTTTTCTCTCTTTTTTCAGCATTGAAACTGCAAAATATGAAGCCTGCTGTCATGTGATAAAATACCCCTATTTGTCTCATTAGAAATTTATTTGCCTGAAGCTCAAGGAAGCAAGGTGAATTGTTAGTGTAGGACACATCTAAGAGGTTTGTCCTGACGTAGCAGTTGGGCTTACATCTAATGGCCATTGGTGTTACTAAATAACCTACATTTATTTAAATATACATAGGGATTTGGGCTAGTGCGCAGATAACTTTTTTTTTATGTATTGGGGCTGTGAGCTATGGTAGTTTCTGCCGCCCAGTAGTGGGAGTTTGTGCACAGGACTTCTTTTTGTTTATAGTTAATATGACAGAAGACAGAAGCAGCCAGATGAATTCTGAAGTGTATAGGTAAATAATGTCTGCTCAGATTCAGCCAAATTCAACAAAGTTGATTGGACAGTGCTTCACATTTCAGATGGACAATGACCCAAAACAAACTGAGGAAGAAACCCAGGAGAAGTGAAATATTCTGCCAATTAAGCATGCATTTTACTTGCTGAAGATAGAACTTAAGGCAGTAAGATCCACAAGTAAGCAACAACTGAAGACAGCTGCAGTAAAGGCCTGGAAAAGCATCACAAAGGAGGAAACCTAGTGTTCTGTGACGTCCATGTGTTCAAGACTTAAAGCAGTCATTGCCTTTGTGGTGGAGGGCAGAGCCAAAATCCTGAAAATTGGGTCAGTGTCCAAATAGTTCTGGACCTAACCATATGTACATTATCTACATTTAATGGATAGTACTTATTTATACTGCATTTTAGTATTTTGACAGAAATATTTTTTCCACCTGTTTTGTATCTCTATCTGTGGGGACCATCTGCTGATTACAGATCTACATTTTATGAACCTGCATGTTCTAGATGTGACTTTTCAGTATTACAGAATTTATGTCCAGTGTAAGGTATAGAGGAACCGAACGTCTGTTCTTTTTGAGTGACCAATGTTGGGAATAGTGTATGCTGGGCTCAGTTTTTTTTCTTTCTATCATATCTTCTACACTTATATACTAGCAATGAAATATGTGGCGGTGACTGAACTCTAAAAGGCATGGACATCGGTTCAAAGGAATCTCTTGGTCTGTGTCTTGGAGTTGTGGTTTCTTGTTTGGAGGTTATATACTATTATCAAGTACAGAATATCCACATATACTTATTTTCATTCTTTGGGTATGGACAGAGGGCTCTGCTGCCTATACGTAAGTATCTTATTTGACAGAACCCAGATACAGATTTGAGTTTTCTTGGACTATCTAATGAGATCTGGGGAGCTTCATATACCGTCGTACGGCTTTGAGATCTGCAAAGCTTAATATCCTATTATACTTTATTTTCACATTCTGTATTTGAGTTTAATTAGATTTTCAGAATAACATACTGTTGAGTTTGATTTATAGAATAGCTCTTGTTGGCTATTGAGAAATCCCTCTCAGGGTAAGGATTGGAGATCCCCTCATTCATTAGACCTGGGCATCTATTCCCACGGGAAAAAGTTGCAGAGCTGCTTCAGATTCTACTTTCACTAGAAATTACTGTCTAGACATTCCAAAGGATAAAGGGTCTAAGTTTGGCTCCAGTGTTCAATCCTCTACATCAGAGGTGGGGAACCTTCAGCCCTCCAGATTTTTTTTACTACATTTACCATAATGCTTCCAAAAGCATTAAGGGAGATGTAGTCCAAAACATCTGGGGGGTCGAAGGTTCCCCACCCTTGCTCTACATCCTCACAATAACATTTCAAATACACCTAATCTTTGCAGTACACTTATGTATCCTTCCATATTTGTGATGCTGCAATGTAGGACAGGAAATAGGAAAAGTCTTACGCATACTTACTGGAATTTTCTTTTCCTAATTATTTCCCACCCTTCAGTGGAGTCTTTATGATAAGGCTGAGGATTCTACAGTAGTAGGGGAATTTATTAAGATTTGTTAATTGATACTTCCTGTTCCGACTGATGAATTAGAATTTAACCCCCCAGTGATGCCATGGAAATTGCTAGGAAAAGAAAATTCTAGTAGAAATGGGTAACAATTTTCCTATTTAGCTCCTTTAAAAGAAATCATAGATCACGTCACTTTTATAACCACTCGCAGGTCACATTCTCACCTTCTTAGTTTGTCAAACCAGTGACCTCGGATTGCTCCCAGCAGGTGTGTGTCAGATAAAAACATAGCCTTCAGAGGAGATGCATTATCCTGATCAGGAGTGCTCTTCAAAATGGGCCATTTACACTGCATTATAACCAAGTAATAAACCAAAAACTCGCAGAACCAAACAACCAGGAATAGGGAACTCAGGAACTTCAACAGAAACCAACTTATCTTGTTCAGACTGGCTTTACCAGTACCAAGTTCAATGTAGCCATATCGCTTGCTCCTAGACGAGGAAGCAATATCCATTCTAAATTATCCACTCCTCTAGATGCTGTATTTTCTATTCTGACATCCAGGCATCTTCCATTAGCTGTTTAGGAGGGTGGGAAAAAAAATAGGAAAAGCATCAAATGCAGACCTTTTTACAAAGTCCTTAAAAATCATACTTATCAAGTGTCTAAACGTACAATTGCATTCTCACCCACAAAAGTTGCTGAATAACTGCCTTCAAGCCATATTGGGACATAATGGAGGATACAGTTCAATAGAAAGTTGCACATTTCAGCTCAATATGTAGTTGTAATACACTACAGAGTGCTCTGGACACCCTTCCAATCTTAAAGAATCAATTTAGGGTCAGGAACACAAACATGTATTCCTGACCCTATAGTGCTAAACCCACCATTTAGGTGGTTTGACCCCCCTCAAATCTTACATGTTGAATACATAAAATTATCATTGTTCCTTAATACTAATCTAGTCACAACAATGTTGATTTTGTAGTTATTGTATTAGAAAAATAGAATGTGACGGCATGTAAGAACCATTTGGCCCATCTATACTTTCATTAGTCCCTGGCCTTGTGTTATATCTAGGATAGCCTTATGCCTATCCCACGCATGCTTAAACTCCTTCACTGTGTTAACCTCTACCACTCCTGCTGCAAGGCTATTCCATGCATCCACTACCCTCTCATTAAAGTAATACTTTCTGATATTTTTAAACCTTTGCTCCTCTAATTTAAGACTGTCCTCTTGTTGTGGTAGCTTTTCTACTTTTAAATATAGTCTCCTCCTTTACTGGGTTGATTCCCTTTATGTATTTAAATGTTTCTTGTCTCATCTTTCCTCCAAGCTATACATGTTAAGATCCTTAACCTTTCCTTGTAAGTTCTATCCTGAAATCCAGGAACCAGTTTAGTAGCCCTTCTCTGAACTCTCTCTAAAGTATCAATATTCTTCTGGAGATACGGTCTCCAGTACTGAGTACAATACTCCAAGTGAGGTCTCACCAGTGTTCTGTACAATGGCATGATCACTTCCCTCTTTCTACTGCTAATACCTCTCCCTATACAACCAAGCATTCGGCTAGCATTTCCTGCTGCTCTATTACATTGTCTGCCTACCTTTAAGTCATCAGAAATAATCACCCCTAAATCCTTTTCCTCAGATGTTGAGGTTAGAACTATCAAATATTCTGTAGTCTGCCCTTGGGTTTTTACGTCCAAGATGCATTATCTTGCACTTATCCACATTAATCGTCAGCTGCCACAACTCTGACCATTTTTCTAGTTTACCCAAATAATTTGCCATTTGGCTTATCCGTCCTGGAACATCAACCCTGTTACATATCTTAGTATCATCAGCAAAAAGACATACCTTACCATCAAGGCCTTCTGCAATATCACTAATAAAAATATTAAAGAGAATGGGTCCAAGTACAGATCCCTGAGGTGCCCCACTGGTGACAAGCCCATGTTTCGAATATACTCCATTGACTACAACCCTCTGTTGCCTGACACTCAGCCACTGCCTTACACATTCAACAATATTGGAATCCAAACTTAAATATTGCAGTTTATTGATAAGCCTTCTATGTGGAACAGTGCCAAAAGCCTTACTGAAATCTAGGTAAGCAATGTCTACTGCACCATCCTGATCTATTATTTTAGTATTTTGTTATTAAAGGAACTCACATGAACAATTAGTTTTTTAAAGTGTAACCTCTACGGTGCATTAGTATTCACACAAAATAATACCTACGCATGTGCTAGTATCCCTAAAATCCACACTTTAGATTTTGGTACTATCCCATCGAGAATTTGGTTTCATCTCTAGTAGCATCTATCTTAAAGGCGGCAATAGTGATCACTCTCTTGGGCATATCTGCATGATAATAGATATCAGTATATTAAAATATACATTCACTTTCATGACCCTTCAAAAGCAGGGTTATAGGTTTGTTTTCTTCTGCAAATACAGAAATATACAATATGCATGAACATTAAATTATCACACAAGTTACATATGTTTGGATTTCAAATAGAAAAGTTCTTTATTTTGTAGAAATTATTTTTTTGTTTTATCTCCTAATTGTACAACAAAACCATACAGATCAAACAGAGTGGTGGGGGTTAGAGTTGAGCGGACACCTGGATGTTCGGGTCCAGCGGGTTTGAAAAAAAGTCCAGGTTCGGGCTCGAACTTGACCCCAAACCCCATTGAAGTCAATAGGGACCCGAACTTTTGGGCACAAAAATGCCTCTAAAAACTCCTGGAAAGGGCTAGAGAGCTGCAAAATGAAGTAAAATGGGGGTAAGAGTAGGACAAGTGCCCTGCAAACAAATGTGGATAGGGAAATCACAGTAAATAACATAAAATACCTAAAAATTAAAAATACAGCTGAGCCATAGAATAGCACTAGATGGAATCTTTGATTTTAGCTTTGGAAGAACATAAATCAAAATTTAAAGCATGGCTGTCAGGAGGATCAACATAATTATCCATTTGAGAGAGGGTTGGAGTGCAGGGTATTCTCTTTCATTGTTCAAACTGAGCTCAACTCCTGATGCATGGAGAAAAGGCCTTCACAAGCCTCTGCTATTGTGTACATAGTTTATACTAAGTGACCCGTAGGTTGAGGAGGCGGTGACCGTGGCGGTGTAGGTGGAAGCAGCGGTGGAGGGGAAGGTAGCCAACAACTCGGGCCAATCGCACATCCCCGTGATGGCGACTTTGCATTCGGATGTCATCCATATCAACTTTCGATGCCAGTTTCTGCGCCTACCATGGTGACCACGGGTAACGAGGAATCAGGGTTCCATTCCGTACAGGGACCCTGAGAAACGGCTACCACATGCAAGGAAGGCAGCAGGCGCGCAAATGACCCACTCCCGACGCGGGAAGGTAGTGATGACAAATAACAATACAGGACTCTTTAGAGGCCCTTTAATTGTAATGAGTTCACTTGAAATCCTTTAACTCTGATCAATTGGAGGGAAGTCTGGTGCAGAGACACTGACACGTGCATGCTGCAGCTGAAACTCCACTATCGCCTGCTGCTGCTCGCACAGACTCATGAGGCGGTGAGCGGGAAGGCCGAAGTTACACTGCAGCGCAGACAGGCGAGCAGCAGCAGGGTGAGAACGCCAAAAGCGCACACCGCCGCTACAGTGAATGTCACATCCTGTTCCAAGTTGCGGATCAGTCTGGTGATGGCTTCTGGTATCCAGTACTCTTTTTACTGAAGCTGCATCAGGGACCTTGTATGTGGCCGCACAAATGCTGGTGCTCAACACCAGGGGACATGCGGTTACCCTGCACCAGACCCTGCTAATCCATTCCACACTGTGACTCCTAACTTCAACATCAGGCATACTGGGTCCCGGCTGTCCGACCGCCGCCCAGACAGTGTCTGGGTCCTGGTCACCGGACTGCCCACCTGACAGTGAAACTATGAATGGATCGTTAAATCTGGTACGAACGCGAACTTTGCAGTTCGGGTTCGCTCAACTCTATTATGGATCCTTTGATCGCTACATGTATTACTTGGATAACTGGTAATTCTCGAGCTAATACATGCCAACGAGCGCTAGAGGACGGCCGCTACGCTTTTGCACCCTGCTCCCTCTTATGCTGTGCTGGTGCCTCTGTGCGACTAGCGCCTCTTCCTCCAAACTGTCACTCGCATGACCTGGATTCCATGTGGGGTCTAGGACCTCATCATCCTCCACATCATCTTCCACATCATCTTCCACATCATCTTCCACCGACTCCTCAACCCTGCCCTCCTTGCCGGTATGCACACTGCAGAAAGCCACAGCAGTTGGCACCTGTGTTTTTCCACCATGTAAAGTCTGCAAAGGACATATGGAAATTGTTTTAGAATTGTATTCAGGCAACAGTTTTCCCTATAAACTGATCTCTCAGTTTGACTTGTAAGGGTATTGCCCCAGAATTACAATATTATTTAAGTACCTCTTAGCTATTATTAACTGGTTTAAATATAGCAACTTGTTATCTGGTAGTTTCTAGTGTAGAAAATATCAATCTGTTTTCTATCACTTAGATCTGTGTAACAAGTGTTGTAGGTGTGAAACAATATTACAAGTGACCGATGTAGTAAATTCAGATCAAAGTTATGCTTCGATTTGACTCTCAGATATGAAGTGCACACCCCAAATATACTATTTAGCACCAAAAAAAATAAAAAATAAAAAATGTACTTTTTAAGACTCCAATGTAAGCAGCCATACAATTAGGATGTTTACATCTGCGCAGTATGCGCACTATTTGACGCTTCTATTTGACTCTCAGATATGAAGTGCACCGCAGGCCGCAAATGTACTATTTAGCAAAACAATTAGAATGTTTACCACTGCACTGTAAGCGCACTATTAGACGCTTCTATTTGACTCTCAGATATGAAGTGCACGACCCAAAATATACTATTTAGCAGATTAGCACCCAGAAAATTCGATGTTTTACAGCTGCGCTGTAAGCACAATATTAGACGCTTCTATTTGACTCTCAGATATGAAGAGCAGGCCCCAAAATGTACTATTTAGCAGATTAGCAGCAAAACAATTAGAATGTTTACAACTGCGCTGCAAGCGCACTATTAGATGCATCTATTTGACTCTCAGATATGAAGTGAACACCCAAAATGTACTATTTAGCAGATTAGCACCCACAAAATAAGAATGTTTACCACTGCACTGTAGGAACACTATTAGATGCTTCTATTTGACTCTCAGATATGAAGTGCACGACCCAAAATATACTATTTAGCAGATTAGCACCCAGAAAATTAGATGTTTTACAGCTGCGCTGTAAGCACACTATTAGACGCTTCTATTTGACTCTCAGATATGAAGTGCACACCCCAAAATGTACTATTTAGCAGATTAGCAGCAAAACTATTAGAATGTTTACAACTGCGCTGTAAGCACACTATTAGACGCTTCTATATGACTCTCATATATGAAGTGCAGGCCCCAAAATGTATTATTTAGCAGATTAGCAGCAAAACAATTAGAATGTTTACCACTATGCTGTAAGCGCACTAGTAGATGCTTCTATTTGACTCTCAGATATGAAGAGCAGGCCCCAAAATGTACTATTTAGCAGATTAGCAGCAAAACAATTATAATGTTTATAACTGTGCAGTAAGCGCACTATTTGACGCTTCTATTTGACTGTCAGATATGAAGTTCACACCCCAAATACACTATTTAGCACCCAAATTTTTTTTTTGACTTTTTAAAACTCCAATGTAAGCAGCAGATAAGCCGCAAAACAATTAGAATGTTTACAACTGCGCAGTAAGCGCACTATTTGACACTTCTATTTGACTCTCAGATATGAAGTGCACGACCCAAAATGTACTATTTAGCAGATTAGCAGCAAAACAATTAGAATGTTTACCAGTGCGCTGTAAGCACACTATTAGAAGCTTCTATTTGACTCTCAGATATGAAGTGCACGACCCAAAATGTACTATTTAGCAGATTAGCAGCAAAACAATTAGAATGTTTACAACTGCGCTGCAAGCGCACTATTAGATGCATCTATTTGACTCTCAGATATGAAGTGCACACCCAAAATGTACTATTTAGCAGATTAGCACCCACAAAATAAGAATGTTTACCACTGCACTGTAGGAACACTATTAGATGCTTCTATTTGACTCTCAGATATGAAGTGCACGACCCAAAATATACTATTTAGCAGATTAGCACCCAGAAAATTAGATGTTTTACAGCTGCGCTTTAAGCACACTATTAGACGCTTCTATTTGACTCTCAGATATGAAGTGCACACCCCAAAATGTACTATTTAGCAGATTAGCAGCAAAACTATTAGAATGTTTACAACTGCGCTGTAAGCACACTATTAGACGCTTCTATATGACTCTCATATATGAAGTGCAGGCCCCAAAATGTACTATTTAGCAGATTAGCAGCAAAACAATTAGAATGTTTACCACTATGCTGTAAGCGCACTAGTAGATGCTTCTATTTGACTCTCAGATATGAAGAGCAGGCCCCAAAATGTACTATTTAGCAGATTAGCAGCAAAACAATTATAATGTTTATAACTGTGCAGTAAGCGCACTATTTGACGCTTCTATTTGACTGTCAGATATGAAGTTCACACCCCAAATACACTATTTAGCACCCAAATTTTTTTTTTGACTTTTTAAAACTCCAATGTAAGCAGCAGATAAGCCGCAAAACAATTAGAATGTTTACAACTGCGCAGTAAGCGCACTATTTGACACTTCTATTTGACTCTCAGATATGAAGTGCACGACCCAAAATGTACTATTTAGCAGATTAGCAGCAAAACAATTAGAATGTTTACCAGTGCGCTGTAAGCACACTATTAGAAGCTTCTATTTGACTCTCAGATATGAAGTGCACGACCCAAAATGTACTATTTAGCAGATTAGCAGCAAAACAATTAGAATGTTTACCAGTGCGCTGTAAGCACACTATTAGATGCTTCTATTTGACTCTCAGATATGAAGTGCACCGCAGGCCGCAAATGTACTATTTACCAGTTTAGCAGCAAAACAATTAAAATGTTTACAACTGCGCTGTAAGCGCACTATTTGACTCAGATATGAATAGCAGGCCCCAAAATGTACTATTTAGCAGTTTAGCAGCAAAACAATTAGTGCGCTTATGGCGCAGTTGTAAACATTCTATTTGACTCTCAAACATGAAGAGCAGGCCCCAAAATGTACTATTTAGCAGATTAGCAGCAAAACAATTAGAATGTTTACCACTGCGCTGTAAGCGCACTATTAGATTTGACTCTCAGATATGAAGTGCACCCCACTAAAATACTATTTAGCAGTTTAGCACCCAAAAAATTTGCAAGTTTTAAAACTGCAATGTGACGCTTCTATTTGACTCTCAGATATGAAGTGCACCCCAGTAATGTACTTTTTAGCACCCAAAACATTTTAAGTTTTAAAACTGCAATGTGACAGCAGTATTTGACGATTCTATTTGACTCTCAGATATGAAGTGCACTCTACTAATGTACTATCCCACTAATGTACTATTTAGCACCAAAAAAAAATTGACTTTTTAAAACTCCGATGTAACCGCGGTATTTGAAGCTTCTATTTGACTCTCAGATATGAAGTGCACCCCACTACTGTACTAGCTTGCAGAATTTTTTCCTAAGCTGTCCCTCACAGCTGCAGCATCCTCTCCCTACACTAATAAGAGCTCATGTGCGTGCGGCGATACGCGACTCCAGCTTATATATAGAGGCTGCGTCACATGCTGCACTGGCCAATCACAGCCATGCCATTAGTAGGCATGGCTGTGATGGCTTCTAAGGGCACACGAGTCAAACGCTTGTTGATTGGTTGCCCTGCAGCCTTTGAAAACGCGCCATTAAATCGCCTAACACCGAACTCCAACCCGAACATACAGTGATATGTCCGTGTTCGGGTCCAGGGTCCAAAAACCGTAATGTTCGGTACGAACCCGAACTTTACAGACCGGGTTCGCTCAACTCTAGTGGGGGTTTTGGACAGAACTTCTGTTCTCTCCCTTCCCAGTTTAAAGGAATGTAGTAAATCCCCTTTAACATACTTTCCTAGTGACAAGTACCCATTCCCTCAACCCAGAAAATGCCAAAGATATGTTTAATGCAGCTAATCTCAGCACAGGCAACAAAACCTCAGCAGCATTTCCACGTTGTCACCATAATCTCACAATGTTCCAGGCTCACTCACATACACCGTGTGCATCTGCTAATAAATATAGCCACTGAGTATTCCTTTCTATAGCTCTGTACACACACAGGGGAAGCTATACTTTGTTACCGTGCCAATGTCTCTCGTGTGGATTATTGTAACCCTCTCTTAATTGGTCTTCCCAGAAGCCGTATTGCCCCACTACAGTCTGTAGTGAATTCTGCCGCCAGACTGATTGTCCTCTCCAGTTGCTCCTCTCACACCTCATCCCTCTCTCAGTCCATACATTGGCTTCCTGTATCCTATAAGAGTCAATTAAAATTACTCATCCATACCTATAAAGCACTGAACAATTCTACCCCTCATATCTCTTCACTGATCTATAAATGTGCCCCTTCTCGGTCTCTCCGCTCTGCCCATGACCTTTCCTTTGGAATAGCCTAGCTACCACCATGAGACTTTCCACTAGTCTTCAATCATTTAAAAAGTGCTTTAAAACCCATCTCTTCTGGAGAGGTTTGGGCCTCCCAGAATAACCTCTACCCAGGCAAACGTGTCGCGGCCGCCTTAGGGCTCACCAGCTCTGGGGGCGCAAGATTCGAGTGACCAGCAGGAGGGAAGCGCACAGCACTCCCTCCTAGCAGTCACTCAGTGAAGCATGGATAAGCGCAGCAGAGCAAACCACGGTACAGGAGCTTCTATTTCCTGTACCCATCCCGAAAACTGAAGCTTCTGTACTGCAGTCTGCTCTGCTCAGCCACGCTACAACAGAGGTAGGAGGCATACCAGGGAGGGAGGGGAGGGGAGGGACCACTAAACGGAGGGGGGACACACAAAGACAGGGAGGGCAGAAAAACACAAAGGGACAGGGAAAGGGGGGGGACCACTTAAGGAAAGGGAAGGGAGGGGGGGAGGATCACTAAGGGACAGGGAAGAAAGGGGAACACTAAGGGACAGGGAAGAAAGGGGAACACTAAGGGACAGGGAAGGGAGGGGAACACTAAGGGACAGGGAAGGGAGGGGAACACTAAAGGACAGGGAAGGGAGGGGAACACTAAAGGACAGGGAATAAAGGGGAGCACTAAAGGACAGGGAAGGGGGGAAGGGAGGGGGAGACCACTAAGGGACGGGAGTGGGATAGGAACACTAAGGGACAGGGACGGGAGGGGGAGAGGAACACTATGGGACAGGGAGGGGAGGGGGGGGAGGAACACCATGGGACAGGGAGGGGGGAGAGGAACACCAAGGGACAGTGAGGGAGGGGAAGAGGAAGACCAAAGGACAGGGAAGGGAGAGTGGGGATGACCACTAATGGACAGAGAAGGAGGGGAGTGAACCATGGAACAGGAAGGGAGCGGGGAGGACCAACAAGGCACAGGAAAGGAGTGGGGTGGGAGGAATGCATGGCAGCTGGAGTGGGGGGGACCACACCATGGTCATGGAGCGGGAAAAATCACCAAGGGACAGGAAGGGAAATGGGGAGGACCCGCCTGGCGGTCAGGAAGGGAGTGGGGGGGAGAACCACTGGGCGGGACAGGAAGGGAGGGGGGAGACCACCGCTGGGACAGGGAAGGGGGGGGGAGGATCACTAAGGGACAGGGAAGAAAGGGGAACACTAAGGGACAGGGAAGAAAGGGGAACACTAAGGGACAGGGAAGGGAGGGGAACACTAAAGGACAGGGAAGGGAGGGGAACACTAAAGGACAGGGAAGGGAGGGGAACACTAAAGGACAGGGAAGGGAGGGGAACACTAAAAGACAGGGTAGGGAGGGGAACACTAAAGGACAGGGAAGGGAGGGGAACACTAAAGGACAGGGAAGGGAGAGACTACTAAGGGACAGGGATGGGAGGGGGGGGAGACCACTAAGGGACAGGGAAGGAAGAGGGGGAAAGACCACTAAGGGACAGGGAAGGAAGAGGGGGAGGAACACTAAGGGACAGGGAAGGGAGGGAGGAAACGGAACACTAAGGGACAGGGAAAGGAGCGAGAGGAAAACTAATGGACAGGGAAAAGAGCGAGAGGAACAGTGAGGGACAGGGAAAGGAGCGAGAGGAACACTGAGGGACAGGGAAAGGAGCGAGAGAAACACTGAGGGACAGGGAAAGGAGCGAGAGGAACACTGAGGGACAGGGAAAGGAGCGAGAGGAACACTGAGGGACAGGGAAAGGAGGGAGAGGAACACTGAGGGACATCGAAGGGAGGGAGAGGAACACTGAGGGACATCGAAGGGAGGGAGAAGAACACTAAGGGACATCGAAGGGTGGGAGAGGAACACTAAGGGACATCGAAGGGTGGGAGAGGAACACTAAGGGACATCGAAGGGAGGGACAGGAACACTAAGGGACAGGGAAGGGAGAGGACCACGACCACTAAAGGAAAGAGAAGGTAGGGGAGGGGGACCACAAAGGGACTGAGAAGGGAGGGGAGGGATGACCACTAAGGGACAGGGAAGGGAGGGGGGAAGGAACACTAAGGGACAGGGAAGGGAAGGGGAACACTAAGGGACAGGGAAGGGAAGGGGAACACTAAGGGACAGTGAAGGGAGGGGAACACTAAGGGACAGGGGAGGGAGGGGAACACTAAGAGACAGGGAAGGGAGGGGAACACTAAGAGACAGGGAAGGGAGGGGAACACTAAGAGACAGGGAAGGGAGGGGAACACTAAGAGACAGGGAAGGGAGGGGAACACTAAGAGACAGGGAAGGGAGGGGAAAACTAAGAGACAGGGAAGGGAAGGTTTTGTAACCTCGCCACTGGTTCTTGGAGGGGCCTGTTTGCCAGCCTACTACCCTGTGACTATGGCACCTGTAATGAACCCTGGTTGAAACCACTGTTTATGCTTTTTGGACTTGTAACAGTAACACTTTGAACTCTCGAACGGTCGAAGTGGCACTTCGAACACATGGCGGCGGACATTTTAAGCCGCGAGCACAATGAGCTGTGTTTGGTCGTCGAGTAAATGGAACTCAAATCGGACACTCGACGGCACGCACACCGCTAACTACTTACCTTCCACGGATGTTCGGCTATTCGAACGGGAGTCGAACTGCGTTTAGTAAGAAAAAACTCCCGAATGAGAGACATAAACTGAGACTACTCCCGAAGCTATACGTTCGGTATTTTACTTCGAATCTCCGAAGTAGACCGACTGCACAGCCTGATTCTCTGGAACTTTTTGGGGTATGGGACCATGCGTGTGGTTGGTCAAAATAGAACTTCCATAGAATTCCTGAACCCCTGATCTGGGTGATTTGTGGATATGTTGGTCACCCAGATTAGGGCTATCAGGGGATGTAACATTTGTGGGGATATTATGTGTTTTGGGGTTTTATAAAATTGTGGTATATAAAATTGGATACAATTGACTTAATACAGTATCTGACTCAATTATCTCCCTGGCAGAGGGAAGGGATTGTCTGCTATGTGTGGGAGTATCATGCATTGTAACAATGTTATTATTGGTCTGTGACTTTGTACCGTAGTTCCCCACAAGGTACATGTGGGAGTACCCCTTGCATGGGAATTGTCATTTAAGACCAAGTGTGGCATCATTAAAATCAGTTCCTCTTCACCCTCAACATAGAGACTCGTCTCGTATTTGTGGAGGGGACAGCTATACTCATACTCCCTTGGAAGGAAAAGGGTAACACTAAGGGATCAGAGAGAAAGGGGAACACTAAGGGATAAGGAAGGGAAAGGAGAGGGCCACTGAGGGACAGGGAAGGGAGGAGGGAAGGACTACTAACGGACAGGGAAGGGAGAGGACCACTAAGGGACAGAAAAAGGAAGAGGAATAATAAGGAACAGGGAAGGGAGGGGAAAGGAAATCATTAAAGGACAGAGAAGAGTGGGAGAGGAAGACACTAAGAGGGGGTGGATGAGACCACTAAGGGACAGAGGAAACCGATAAGGGACAGGGAGGAAGAGGGGGAAGACCGATAAGGGACAGGGAGGAAGAGGGGGAAGACCGATAAGGGACAGGGAGGAAGAGGGGGAAGACGATAAGGGACAAGGAGGAAGAGGGGGAAGACCGATATGGACAAGGAGAAAGAGGGGGAAGACCGAGCAAGGGACAAGGAGGAAGACCGGAGCAAGGACAGGAGGAAGAGGGGAAGACCGATAAGGGACAGGAGGAGGGGAAACCACCAAGGGGAGAGGAAGGAGGGGAGACCACTAAGGACAGGAGGAGGGGGAGACCACCAAGGACAGGAGGAGGGGGAGACCACCATGGACAGGAGGAGGGGAGGGGGGGAGACCACCAAGGGACAGGAGGAGGGAGGGGGAGACCACTGAAGGGACAGGGAGACCACTAAGGGACAGGGAGGAGGGGAGACCACCAAGGGACAGGAGGAGGGGGAGACCACCAAAGGACAGGAGGAGGACGACGAGATAGAGACCCACCATGGACAGGAGGAGGGGAGACCACTAAGGGACAGGAGGAGGGGAGACCCCCAAAGGACAGGGAGGAGGGGAGACCACCAAAGGACAGGAGGAGGGGAGACCACTAAGGGACAGGAGGAGGGGGGGAGACCAATTGCAAGGACAGGAGGGAGGGGGAGACCACTAAGGGACAGGGAGGAGGGGGAGAGAACACCACTAAGGGACGGGGTAAGGGGGAGAGAACACCACTAAGGGACGGGGGACCATAAGGAAGGCTGAACTTGATGGATGCAAGTCCCTTTTTTAGCTATGTAACTAAGGGACGGGGGAGAGACCACTAAAGGAACAAGGGAAGAGTGAAAGAGATTACAAAGAAACGGGGGAAGAGGTGAAAAAGACACACAAAGGGGCTGGGGATGAAAAAAGAACACACTGAAGGGCAGTGGGAGATACACATGGGGATGGGGTGAAAAGGACACAGAGGGCCTGGGGAGGGAGAAGCACAGAGGGGCTGGATGTGAAAGAGAGACACAGAGAGGCTGGAGAATGGGAAAAAGTAACACAGAGAGGATGGAGGGGGGGACAGATGGGCTGGGGGTGAAAGAAACACACAAAGGAGTTTTGGAAGAATAAAAGACAAAAGGGGCTGGGAGAAAAGGAGACTGGAGGTGTAAGATACACAAAATGTGGGAGGATGCAAGAGTCATACAAAGAGGGACGATAAGTGACACACAAGGAGGGTTGTAAGAAACACAAGGAAGGTGTAAGACACACAATGGGGAAAGAATAGGCGATAAGATACATTAAAGGGGGTAAGATATTTAAAAGAGGGCCTAAGAGACACAAAAGGGGGGTTAAGAGGCACACAGGTGAAGATTTATTGGGGGGTAGCGAGCGGCCAAAATGCATCTCGGCCTGTGTACCCCAAATTCCTTGCACTGGCCCTGCCTCTACCTCACATACCTGTCCTTTACTCTCTCTTAACCCCTTAATGACAGATGACGGTCCGTCATGCGCTAAAATGAACCCCAGATCGCCGTGGTGCCAGCGATCGCGGGGTTAACACTGTTGCTGGGTGCCTCCGAGTCAGTGGCAGACCAGCAACAGCAAATCGCGATGTCCCAGCCAGTCACAGCAGTCATAATGCTGCAGGGATATCAGATCCACCTCTTGTGGGTTTTTGAAGTGGAGAGAGATGGATCGTTGTTATTGTGTGTCCCTGAAGAGAATAAATTGCGTCAGATAAGGTTCCAAATCCCCTTTCCCCTTCTTTAAAAAAAAATAAAAAATTTAAGTTTAAAACAGTTTAAAAACCTATACATGGGGGGTACTGTTTTACTCTGAAGACTTTTTTAGTAGCCACTAGTAGCTACCATATCCTCTCAAAGGCAACGTAACCAATCTGGTGAATTTCAATGTGAAAAAAACTGAAAAATTTAACATGCAATATTTGACCCTGTAACTTCCCAAAACACCATAAAAGCTGTACATAGGGGGTATTGTTTTACATGTGAGACATGAATACAAATGTGTATTTTATTGCAGTAAAAGCAAACAGTATTATGACATTCACAGTTAAAATGTCACGTAGAACTAAAAACCTTTTTAAAATTATTTTCTCCCATTTTTTTATATTTTATTCATATTAAATAATATTTCATACCTAAATATGTTAAGTTAAATGAAAGCCCTGTTTCCCCTGAATAAAATGATATATAAAAAGTGTGGGTGCACATAATATGAAAGAGGCAAATTACGTCTGAACAGACAAATAGCGCAAATTCAAGTTTTTGTTTACGTTTTGTTTTGATCGCAACGAGTACATTTGGCTCAGTCCTTAAGGGGTTAACCTGCACTAATTATGCACAAATAATTGCAAAAACTGTAAACCAAAAAAAAAAAAATATATATATATATTTTTCCCTTTTTATAATAAATAAGCATATATATGAATATGTTACATTAAATTAAAGCCCTTTTTGTCTTTTAACCCCTTCAGGACCGAGGACGGTTCAGGACTGTCATCGGCATTTTTGCGTTGCCGACCGGTGACGGTCCTGAACCGTCCTAACGGTCCAATGTACTTACCCGAACGCCGTTGTTCCCCCGGCGCCGATCGGTGTTGCTCCTGTTGTGGGGAGACTGCCTGCAGCCCAGACAGTCTCCCCATGGCGGATTAGGACCCCTGGGACCATGTGATCGCTCAACAGAGCGATCACGTGGTCACAATAGGTGTCCATGTGTATGCCTGCAGGGGGACTGCCTGTGCTGACAGGCAGTCTCTCCCTGCTGGTGTAAAATCATAAAAAAAAAAAAATTAAAGTTAAAGTTAATTTAAAAAAAATTTTTTTTTAAATGATATATGATATATAGACATATATATATATATAATGTCATACTAAGTGTATTTTTATATTAATATAAAAACACACTTATAATTAAATTACACACGTATATATATAAAATATATATAATAACTATATATTGTATATAAATATTATTATAAAATACAAAGTAATTTAAATTAAATAAAAACATGTACAAATAAAAAATTTAAAAAAATATATCTATATGAAATTTTATTATAACTGTATTTTGATAGTAATATATACATATATTACTATCAAAATACACTTAGAATGAAATTGTATATATATCTATGTATATATAAATAAAAATACGAAATATACATATGTCCATATACAAAATTACATAAATATACACGTAGACTTCAAACATATAAATATGCATATATATTTAAATTCTACGTGCGTATTTATGTAATATTTTTACATAATTAAGTAATTTTATTGATTGCAATTTGAGGTACCTGCCTGCCAACCGAGGTCGAAAGTCCAGAGAATTTAATTTGCTAGCACTATATTTTACCCTGTAAATTTCTATGACACCCTAAAACCTGTACATGTGGGGTACTGTTTTACTCTGTAGACTTCACTCAACACAAATATTAGTGTTTCAAAACATATTGCAGCGATGATATTGTCAGTGAAAGTGACGTCTTTTTTTCTTTTTCACACACAAACGGCACTTTCACTGATGATATCACTATTGTGATACGTTTTCCTGTTTTGAAACACGAAGATTTGTGTTCAGCAAAATCTCCCGAGTGTAACAGTACCCTCCAGGTACAGGTTTTTTAGCGTTTTTGAAAGTTACAGGGTCAAATATATGGGTCAAATATTTTTACATTGAAAAAGGCCAGGTTGGTTACGTTGCCTTTGAGAGCGTATGGTAGCCCAGGAATGAGAATTACCCCCATGATGGCATACCATTTGCAAAAGAAGACAACCCAAAGTATTGCAAATGGGGTATTGTCCAGTCTTTTTTAGTAGCCACTTAGTCACAAACACTGGCCAAAATTAGCGTTCAATTTCGTTTTTTACACACAAATATGAATGCTAAATTTGGTCAGTGTTTTCGACTAAGTGGATACTAAAAAACACTGGACATACCCCATATTGAATACCCTGGGTTGTCTACTTTAAAAAAAATATGTACATGTGGGGTGTTATTCAGAGATTTATGACAGATAATAGTGTTACAATGTCACTATTGATACATTTTAAAAATGTATGTTTTGAAACCGCAATATCCTACTTGTACCTATAGCCTATAACTTGGAAAAGAAAGCAAAAAAGCACGTAAACACTGGGTATTTTTAAACTCAGGACAAAATTTTTAATCTATTTAGCAGTTTTTTTCATTCGCTTTTATAGATGAGTAAAAGATTTTTCAAGTAAAAGTCACAAAACATGTATTTTTTCCAATTTTTCATCATTTTTTTATTTTATTTTTTTATTAAATGACATGAGATTATATAAATAATGGTATGTAAAGAAAGCCCTTTTTGTCCTGAAAAAAACAATATATAATTTGTATGGGAACAGTAAATGAGAGAGCAGAAAATTACAGCTAAACACAAACACCACAAAAGTTTAAAAAGAGGCCTGTTTGCAAATGTACAACATAGGAAAAACAGTCCAGTCCTTAAGGGGTTAAAAAAAAAATGAATATGTGTTGGTGCAATAAAGTAGTAAAATGCAAATTACAGTTGAACGCAAACCGCAAAATATGCAAAAATTGCTTGTGTCATTAAGTGCAAGACAAGCTTTTGAAGCTGTCCCCTAAAAGGATCACTATAAGGTCAGGAACATAAACATGTATTCCTGATCCTACAGTGTTATGTCAGGATATCCCTGGCTGAGCTCCAGGAGCTCTGTGTGCAGGTGGTCAATGCAGCTACCCTCAGGCTATGCTTTGCTGAGCTCCAGGAGCTCTGTGCACAGGTGGTCAATGCAGCTACCCTCAGGCTATGCTTTGTTGAGCTCCAGGAGCTCTGTGCACAGGTGGTCAATGCAGCTACCCCCAGGCTATGCCTGGCTGAGCTCCAGGAGCTCTGTGTGCAGGTGGTCAATGCAGCTACCCTCAGGCTATGCTTTGCTGAGCTCCAGGAGCTCTGTGCGCAGGTGGTCAATGCAGCTACCCTCAGGCTATGCCTGGCTGAGCTCCAGGAGCTCTGTGCGCAGGTGGTCAATGCAGCTTCCCCCAGGCTATGCCTGGCTGAGCTCCAGGAGCTCTGTGCGCAGGTGGTCAATGCAGCTACCCTCAGGCTATGCCTGGCTGAGCTCCAGGAGCTCTGTGCGCAGGTGGTCAATGCAGCTTCCCCCAGGCTATGCCTGGCTGAGCTCCAGGAGCTCTGTGCGCAGGTGGTCAATGCAGCTACCCTCAGGCTATGCCTGGCTGAGCTCCAGGAGCTCTGTGCGCAGGTGGTCAATGCAGCTACCCTCAGGCTATGCTTTGTTGAGCTCCAGGAGCTCTGTGCACAGGTGGTCAATGCAGCTACCCCCAGGCTATGCCTGGCTGAGCTCCAGGAGCTCTGTGCGCAGGTGATCAATGCAGCTACCCTCAGGCTATGCCTGGCTGAGCTCCAGGAGCTCTGTGCGCAGGTGGTCAATGCAGCTACCCTCAGGCTATGCCTGGCTGAGCTCCAGGAGCTCTGTGGGCAGGTGGTCAATGCAGCTACCCTCAGGCTATGCTTTGTTGAGCTCCAGGAGCTCTGTGTGCAGGTGGTCAATGCAGCTACCCTCAGGCTATGCCTGGCTGAGCTCCAGGAGCTCTGTGCACAGGTGGTCAATGCAGCTACCCCCAGGCTATGCCTGGCTGAGCTCCAGGAGCTCTGTGCACAGGTGGTCAATGCAGCTACCCTCAGGCTATGCCTGGCTAAGATCCAGGAGCTCTGTGCGCAGGTGGTCAATGCAGCTACCCTCAGGCTATGCCTGGCTAAGCTCCAGGAGCTCTGTGTGCAGAAGTGGATTATACTCGCAATCACGCCTGCTATTACACAAAACATGCTTTTTGGAAAAATGGACATTAGAAGTCCACCTACCTACTACTATCTCCCATCAAGCAGGAACTGGCGGAGAGTCATGTGTTGGCGCATGGGCAAAAGGCCGCACCGGGCTAGTGCGCCACCCAGCGGCGAGTAGGGGAAGGTTTGCCTGGCCGGGGTTAGTGTTACCAGATATCACTGGCAGAGAGGGTATCTCCGAGATACTGCTTATTGTTACCCGATATTCAGCATCCAATTCCGGGTCTTGTGTTACCTGCCCCTCACAGCTATCATCGGAGCTCCCCCTCTCTCGGTACCCTGGGTCTGAGCAGGCTGCTGGCTGAGCTAGGTCCTGCAAGGTAGGTAAAGTCACTGTCCCACTCAGCTCACGGGGGGGGAGCGGGTGTTCACTGCAGCACTGGGACATTAGAGAGTTCGATTTAGAGTGTCTTTTTTTCCCCCATGTACAGATTGCTGAAACCTAGGGAGAAAAAAAAAAAATACAATAATTTCCAGGGTTAATTTAGGCCTTACTTTTAGGGTTAGAATAAGAATTTAGAGAGTTCCTAACCTTACCCTCAATTTAAACTTAAATGTCCCAGTGCTGCAGTGAAGCTCCTAGTTATAAGCAGAGTGCGACAATAACTTTATTTACCAGGGTTCTAAGTCCTCAGCATTGTCCTAGTGCAGGGGTAGGCAACCTACGGCACTAGTGCCATGCACGGCACTCGAGGTGTCTTTCCACGGCGCTCAAGGCTGCTAGAGCCACACAGGGTCTGGCCTATCATGAGTCCTAGTAAAACATCAGATATCTGCTAATACAAAGAGGTAGTGAAGGACAATCCTCAATTTATGCATTGCAGCACTTAGAGGAAGCCCCCATATACTACCAAACACACAATGTGACATATCCACCCACACACAATTCCACAAGCAGCCCTCATACACAGCCCACATTCATATGATTCATACACGATACCATAAACTACTAATGAACATATATACAATATAATAGCTCATATAGGCACAAATACAACGATACAAAGCAATTACAGTATAAATAACACAAGCAAAATACGGCAGCGCACACATCTTAATTTAAAAAAAAAATAGGATCGGCAGGGCCGTTTGAAGGAGTTTGTGGACATGGAGGCGCCACCCCCCTCCCCAAAGCCTACAGGAACTCCCACCCTCCCTATGTCCTTCTTATTCCCCTCCCCCTGTGTCCTTTTTACTCCCTTCCCCCATGTGTCCTTTTTAATCTCCTCCCCCGTATCCTTCTTACTCCCCCGCCTATGTTCTTTTTACTCCCCTCCCTCCCTTCTTCTCCCCTTCCCTGTAGCGTGGCCGAGCTCAGGGTGCACTTCCTGTCAGTCCGGCCGGGAACAGGAAACTGAATCCCCTGTACTGCGTGGTACCCGGCCGGACTGACAGGAGGAAGAGAAGCTCGGCCACGCTACAGGGAAGGGAAGGTGACGAGAGAGGCAGTGCTGCAGCCGCCTGAGGCTCTCTATAGAGCGCTCAAGTGGCTGCAGTCTTATAGGAAGCGCCAGCCCTGCTTGGGGGCCCAGGCCAGCTCGGGGCCCCAAGCAATTGCTTGGTTAGCTTGCCTGGTAGCGTCGGGCCTGAGGATCGGCACGCTACGGGACATCACAATCCTATATGGGCACAGTGCTGCTAAAAGGTTGCCTACCCCTGTCCTAGTGTATAGTTCATGCTTAACTTTAGGCTGATGCCTCCTTTATTCCCATTGGAGCTTCTCCACAAAGGTCTCACAAAGGCCTGCTGTAGGACTCACCAAGATGCAGCAGAGTTTTACTCTATTTCATCAGAAGTAATATTTGCATTTAAATTGTGCAATGAAAATATTCCTGTTTCTTTTTCCTGTCAGTGTATATATATACAAAGTATAGCTAGTGCTCAACAGATGTGGATCAATGTGCTTAATGAGAGAAAGATAACCTGTGCTCTACAGGTCCATAGATTACATAATAGAAGTAGACTCAAAGCACATCTTGGAATAATGCATTGAAAAATAATCTTTATTCAAAAGACAAAATGAAAAAAAAAAAACACACACAATTTAAGTGCAAGCATGCAGGAACTAAACAGCCATAGAAAGTCAGTGTGACGAAGTGCACTTCGCCACTACTTGGTCCTGGAGAGGCCTGCTTACCAGCCTCCTGCCCTGCGACTATGGCCCCTGGGAGATTGTACCCATTTAAATCAGCATTTGGGCTTATGGACTTTTATTGTACAGTGCTGGTCCTTTAAAAACAGTGTATGGACATATTGAAACTTTTTGGACACTTTTTCTTCCCCTTTGAATCCCTGGGAATGTGTGGCTCTTCCCCTCTCCCAGCTCCATTGTTCTCCAGCAGGGCGTTGTTCCAGGGACACTGCCAGACCAGTGGGAACTGGTTTGGGCAGGAAAAGCCATGCTTGCAAGTGATAACAAAGGACTTCGACCTAACTTTTAAACCCCTGAACCTATTCAAGTGAATTTTGGATATGTTTGTCCCCAAGTTATACTGGTTTTATGTTTCCGCGTTCATCCTTCCTTAGAGGGAGATCTCCCTTTTCCTGTCAGGACAGAGCTCTGGTTGACACAAAGCTGGCAGTGGTAATGGAAATTGTATCTATAAAACCCTCATTGTCACGCCCAGGATGCATATTTTATTGTTGCACAATAGCATATTGCTATTTAAAGGACCACTATAGGCACCCAGACCACTTCAGCTTAATGAAGTGGTCTGGGTGCCAGGTCCAGCTAGGTTTAACCCTTTTTTCTATAAACTTAGCAGTTTTAGAGAATATAGTTAATCCAGCTTCTAGTGGCTTACGCGCTTCTCACTGTGATTTTTCACAGTGAGAGGACGCCAGCGTCCATAGGAAAGCATTGTGAATGCTTGCCTATGGGCTGGCTGAATGTGTGCGGCTTCTGACGCGCATGCGCATTCAGCCGATGACGTCGCTATGGAGGAGGAGGAAAGTCCCCCGCCCGCCGCTGGGAAAGAGGTAAATTTAACCCCTTCCTCCCCCTAGAGCCCGGCGGGATGGGGGCCCTGAGGGTGGGGGCACCCTCAGAAAACGAGTATGTTTTCCTGGCACTATAGTGGTCCTTAATGTGATTTGTGTAGTGCATACATGAATTGGCTAGCTGGTAGAGGTGGTGTGGACAGATGTCAGAAAGGGTTAATTAAAATTAAAAGATTTACATCATGCAATCCTCTTTTGAAGTTGTGGCTACATGGCTTCTCTGTAAGGTGTGAAATGTTACACATGAGTTGCCTTTAAACCTGCCTTGTAATGTAAACTAACTGGCTTCTACCATGTCTGTATTCCCTATTAGACAGTGAGTCTTTTGATAGGCTAATTATTATTAGCATTAATGAAAATCATTGTCTTCTAGTGTCATATCCAAAAGAAACATTAATAATAACTCACAGATTAATAATCATGGCTCGTTTTTTGCATATACAGTGGGACCTCGGTTTACAAACGCCTCGGTTAATATAAATGAAAATCCATTGAAAATAATGCCTCGGTTTACAAATTTTTTTTCGCAGTACAAACAAGTTTGCACCTGGGAGGTTTATAGCACCGTCCCTTGCATGCTGGAGCCTGTGGGTAGCACGTGGCATCGAGTGTGAAGGTGTTGGAGCGGCCTTTGCCTTGAGTTTTAGAGCCATTCTGGAAATTGTATTTAGTTGTTTTGGGACTTTTTGGTGCATTTCTCAAGCTGTGGAAAGGTAGGGAGCTGAGCTTCGTCGTTTGCATGCCTTTTACTGTGTGTTCTGCATTGTGGGTTGGTTTCCGTGCCAGCTCATTTTGACTTTTTTCTGACCTCCAGAATGGATTAATGGTTTTCAACGCATTCCTATGGGAAACAGCGTTTCAGTTTACAAAAACGTCCTGGAGAACGCATTACATTCGTAAACCGAGGTCTCACTGTATATGGGAAAACTCAACCTACAAAAAGAGTTATGCCCTTTGGAAAGAATTTTGAATTATTTTAGGTCATAAATAAGATGTGTAACAGAAAAAATCTCAGCGACAGGCAGGTTTATTGGATCATAAAAGCAATGTTTCGACCTTCTAAGAGATCTTTATCAAGTTAACACCACATAAGAACTAAACCATAAATATATATAGTGGGCCCTGGGTAACGCGGCTGGTTACCCCTGCTATTAATAAAGAAAAGATACCCATCTTCCCCAGTAACTGGACGACACACAGTTCCAGGGGTATAACAACAACTTTATTGGCCACACTCAGCTTTATACTTTCCCTATGCAAGGGGTGGAACACACTAAAAGACAATGTCCCCTCCCAAGGGTCACATAACGGAACTAGAACCTTTGACCCTGTTCCTGCCATTCTGTGTCTTCTCCCAGGGGCATGGGCAGGTGACAGGAACACTAGATCCTTTGTCCCCAGCTTCCGCCACCCATCCTCAGGGTTTCCCACCTCCGGTGACCAGTGTCTTTATCCCATGAGCCTCTGTACCTGGGAGTACCAGCACGGGAAAGCTTCACGCATCTGTGTCTCCCAGCTACAGAAAGCCTGCCAAACCGCCATTGTCCCCAAGTAATGTCCCCACCAGTCTCCGGGACCTTCAAAACGGTGTCCAGTGCGAACCTCCTCTGTCTGAAACCAGGTAAGGGAAGCATCTCCTTTTGGGATACGAATGCTCCACTGGTCGGCGTTCGTCCGGCGGCCACCCAGGGGAAGTACTCATTAAATACTTCCCTAGCCGTTTCACACTTGTTGCGAATTGTTATTGGGATTTCGCACTTATGTTGCAAGTCGCCAATGTTCTAATTGATTGGTGCGAACATTCCAAGGGGCATTTGGGAGGTCCTCGTTCGGCAGCCGAACGAGGTGTAAAGCAATCCGTGAATGCTCCCACTAGACGCGTTTGTTTAACGAACGGACCACAACCCAGTGTCGGCACGCATCAAAGCTTCCCTTGCGGTTTGTGGTTTTCACACCCAGTTAGCTAGGTGTGAATATTCTATACCAACATTCTAAATAGGTTATCAAGGTGGTCCCCATTCGTGAGGCAAACAGAACCTGTTCTTATGGATCCTCCCAAACGGGGAGCAGGTAAAACACATGAATATAGCACAGTGTAGGAGAAAACACAGGGAATGACACACAACAATTCACAAACAGGCAGCGGTCCCGGCACACAGCTCCCCCTTAACCAAAAACCGGCATACACTGTCTGATCCCGACGGATCAGCTTGGGGATGTCTGGGTGAGTACTCATGGATCACTTATCTAAGGCCGTCTGTCTGGACAACCCATCGGCATTGCCATTCTGCTTACCTGGTCGGTAGTGAATGGAGAAGTCATACGGTTGTAGGGCCAGGCTCCACCATAGCAGCGTGGCATTGTCCACAGAGACCCGGTTCAGCCATACCAATGGGTTGTGATCCGTGAGCAGGGTGAATTGCTGTCCATACAGGTAGGGTTGCAGTTTTTTGAGGGCCCATACCACCGTCAGGCATTCTTTCTCAATGGTGGCGTAGCTTGCCTCCCTTGGCAACAGCTTCCTGCTGAGATAAGCCACGGGGTGTTCTCTGCCATCAGCCCCGACCTCACTCAGCACCGCCCCTAACCCAAACATGGAGGCATCTGTGTGAACAAGAAAACGTTTTCTGGTATTAGGAGCAGCCAGGACAGGCATTTGTCAGGGCGTTCTTAAGGGCTTGGAACACCTGCTCACACTTTGGGATCCAGTACACTTGCCTGGGCAGAGACTTTTTAGGTTGGTGAGGGGCTTGACTAGGGCACTGTAGTTGGGGACAAATTTTCTATAATTACCAGCCGTCCCTGGTAATTACCAGGCAAGCACCTGGGTCTTGGTGAGGGGACGGGGCCAGCTAGCTACTGCTTCCACCTTGGCTTGCTCGGGCTTCTGTGTCCCACATCCGACCCGGTGTCCCAGGTATTGTACCTCCGCCATCCCCAAGCTGCACTTGCTGGGCTTCAGGGTCATTCCTGCCTCCTTAATCTTGTCCAGCCCAGCCCCCACATTTACCAGGTGTTTCTCCCAAGTATCGCTGTATATGGTGATGTCTTCCAGGTATGCACAGGCATAATCCTAGAGGCCATCTAACAGCCTGTCCCCCATCGTTTGGAACGTGGCCGGAGCATTCTTCATCCCAAAGGGCACGTACATTTTCATGCCCAAAACAGTTCCAGAGAATTTGGCTGTGCGGCCGGTCTATTTCCAATAGTTCAAATATTAAGTTCCATTTGAATGCACGAACGGAAGTCATTTGGCCTGGAAATTGTTGCACTATAGAATATTGCTATTTAATATAACTTGTGTAGTGCATCAATAATTTGACCCCTGGGTAGAGGAAAAATGGCAGATATAAAACTGCTATTTTGATCAAAAGGGGTTTCTGCAAGATATGAAAAGGATTGCCCTTTTGATCTATCAAAGGCCCTGCAAGGTGAGCCATTTTACCCTTGAGCCACCTGTATTTCTAGTTTCAATGTAGACTAACTGGTGGTTTTATCAGAGTCCATACAGATGTTTAAACGGCAATTGGATAAATACTTGCAAAAATATAACATACAGGGATATAATTTCTAATTTGTGGGGTAATAGCTGCTTGATCCAATGAGACATCTGACTGTTATTTTGGGGTCAAGAAGGAATTTTTTTTTAATGTTTGTTGCAAAATTGGAAGCGCTTCAAATTAGATTTTATGCCTTCTTTTGGATCAACAGCAAAAACATATGTAAGGAAGGCTGAACTTGATGGACGCAAGTCTCTTTTCAGCTCTGTAACTATGTAGCTGACTTCAGGGCCGGTGCAAGGATTTTTGCCGCCCAAAATAAGTTAGCTGCACCCCCCATGTGACATCACAATGCCCCACCCATGTGATCTGCCATATTAACTAACGCCAGTGCTGCACACATGAGTTCGCTCACAGGGGGTGGAGTGTGTAGGGTGTGGCGAAACCAACCTCGCCACTGTGAACTGGAGAAGCCTGGTTGCTCGCCTGCTCCCTTTGGACTATGGCCCTGCAGGTTAAACCGTTTATTTCCCCTGCAGAAAGGCTTATTTGTGTGATCTGAGTGCCATTCATCTAATAATGTGCGCTCAGATCCCAGCTATCTGGGGATATGTGAAATGTCTGTGTGTTATGTGTAAAAGGTGACTTTATGTATTTTTTTTTTTATAAATTCTTTATTTTGGATTTTCAGTTATATGGGGGATAGGGTACAGAAAAGAAAACTTGGGATCAAGCATACTTTCATAGAGACCATGAGTTGCATTGATGTGTTACAATACAGTCATAAAGGTAAGGCAGTTATATAATTTTGTTCCATAACTGGTGCTGTCCTTCGCTGTTGCTGTAGGATTTCGGTCTCGATTCCGAGAGAAGGTTCTGAAGTTTATTTGTAGATGGGTATAACATTGTGTTGCAGTATTTGATGTTTTACCGGGTATAGCACGTACATTTTTGGTTCGAAAGTTACCTAGTTGTGTGCGTAGTGTGCCGTTTGGTTCAGTGTTTGGTTCGTTGTGTTTATGAGGTCCTCCTCGGGGGGAGTGAGGGGTGGCATAGGGGGAGGGGGGGTGGGTCTGGTGGGGGTTTTGGACTTCTTGCCTAGTGTGTAGGCCTGTCGTCTCTTGGTGTCATGTTTTTGGTGTGGTCTCTATTAGTTTGTGGGTCCCTGGTGATTTGGCAATTCTGGCCTGAGGTCGACTGTGGACCTTCCCATGGGCTTTTTGTTTGATTCTACTTGGGCTGTCACCTAGGGTAGGTAGTGTGTTGGTCAAGGTCTCGGTAGGTGTTCCCTGTTCTGTGTGTGGTGTGTGGTGGGTAGCCTCTGTTGGCTTTGTCGTGAGTGGTTATTTGCTCTTTGTATCTGGGGTTGTGATTTCTGTCGGGGGTGGTCTGGAGGTTCTTCCCCCTTGCCATTCTTTTGTGGTGTGGTGCTTGTGGTAGGTGCGCTCAGGACCCCCGCCAGGGTGGTGGTCTGTGTTGGAGATGCTCCGGTGAGAGCTCTTGTTTGCACTGACTGATTATTTCGTATATTCTTGTGTGGTTAGTGTTCGTGGTCTGGTGCTGGCGGGGTTGGGGCGGTTCATGGGGATCAGTCGGTTTGGTGCTGTGGGGGGGAGGGTTGTGTGTGGTGGATCTTGTGTAGAGTGGTGTGACTGTGTTTGTCTAGTGTGGTTGGGGTGAGCGGTTTGGTTGTTTCTTGCTGTGGGTATGGGGGTTCCGGGAAAGAAACAGTCTAGTTGGCGAAGTGTGGTGCCTGGGGCGGTCTTCGAGGTTATCCCTCCCCAGGGGCCGCCCCCCGCCTGGTGCATCCCTTGGCAGTAAGTGCCTTATAGTGTTGGGAATTCGAAGATCCATGGCTCCCATATTTTGTCGAAGTGTCTAGTGGTATCATGTACCAAGGCGGTAAGTTTATCCATTTTCATGGTTTCATTAATTTTTCGTTGGATGAGTGCTACGGGTGGGGTGTCTGGGCTTCCCCATTTCTCCGCGATTGCTCGCCTAGTGGCTAGTGCCAGTTTGGCTATCAGTTTGTTGTGTGCCCTTGGGGTGTCTCGGAGGGGCCTGGAAAGGAGCCATAACCATGGGTCCATCGGGATAGTGGTGTGTAATGCCTGTGATGCTAATTGCGCTATATGGTGCCACACCGTGGCTACCCGAGGGCACTCCCACCATGTGTGTATGAAAGTTCCCCTGTTCCCGCACCCCTTCCAGCAGAGGTCGTTGTCGGTTTGTCTCATTTGTTTCAAACGTAGTGGAGTGAGGTACCATCGGAAAAGATTTTTATACGCTTGTTCTTTGTGGTTGACACATATCGATATTGTTGCTGTGGCCTCCCATATGTTTGCCCAATTGCTTTGGTCCCCTATGGGGCCTAGGTCCCTCTCCCAGGCTGCCATATAAGGCATTGAACCTTCTCGTATGCTCCTGCTTAGTAGGGAGTATATAGAGGATATCTGTCCTTTGTGGAGTGGGTTGTTGTTACATGCCTTTTCTAGCGGGGTGAGGGGGGTGATGCTTGCTTTTTGTATGGCAGGTTTGTCGACAAAGCTGCGAATTTGTAGGTACCGGAAGAAGTCCCGTGTGGTAAGGGGGGTCTGCTGGGGGAGTTCCGCGAAGGGTATGATACTTTGGTTCTGGTAGAATTGGTGAATGCGTGTTAGGTCGTTGTCTTCGAAGTGAGTGAAGTCCTTCGGGGACATGCCCGGTGTGAATTTTGTGTTCCGGAGGATGGGCATCAGTGGTGAGGGGTGGGAGATTAACTCGTGTTTAGCCACTAGTTTGTCCCATATTCTAATCGTTGTGAGGATTGCTGGGGAGGTATAGGGGGCTGGTGGTCTGGCTTCTTTTGGTAGCCAAATGTATAGGGAGGGAAAATCGTATCCGAATATGTTATGTTCCAGGTCGACCCATCGTTTAAGGCCGGGAGCTGCATGGAGTTGAATTGTTTGCGCTACGTGTGCCGCGTGAAAGTATTGGGTGAAATTAGGGAGTCCTAGTCCTCCCTGTCTGTTTGGTATGTATAGTGTTCGTCGGGCGATCCTTGCTCTTCTTCCGGCCCATATAAACTTGTCTATTTTGGTTTGCAATTTTTTGAAGTCGGAAGTAGTGATCGGGATTGGGAGGGTTTGGAAAAGGTATAAAAATCTTGGGAGAAGATTCATTTTTATGGAGGTCAGTCTGCCTATCCATGAGATTGATAAATCTTTCCATTTGTCTAGGTCTTGTGTGGCAGTTTCTAATAGGGGCGTGTAGTTTAGGCTGTAGGTTTGTGTGAGGTCCGCTGGGAGAATGGTCCCCAGGTATTTGATGGCAGTTGGTTGGTATGTGAACGGGTGGCGTGCTCGAAGTGTGCGGAGGGTGGGTTCTTCTATTCGGATCGGGAGGGCTTCCGTCTTCTCCATGTTTAGTTTGTACCCGGAGATGTTTGCGTATTTCGTTAATTCTCTAAACAAGTGTGGGAGAGAGTTTAGCGGGTCCGTAATTGTGAGAAGTACATCGTCTGCGTATGCAGCGATCTTGTAGGTTTCATTCCTAACTCGAATTCCTTGTATGTCGTTTTGGCTTCGGAGGACTTGGAGTAGTGGTTCTAGGGATATGGCAAATAATATTGGTGAGAGTGGGCATCCCTGTCGTGTGCCATTCTTAATGTGAAAGGAGGGGGATGTAGTCGAGTTCAGGAGGAGGGTGGCTGTGGGGGATGAGTATAGAGTCTTCAGTGCATTGGAAAACCTAATTTCTGTAATGTTGCAAATAGGAATGGCCACAGTAGTCTGTCAAATGCTTTTTCCGCGTCGAGGGATAGGATCAGGGTCGGGATGCGTCTGTGGTCAGCGTACCAGATGAGGTCGAAGGTACGTCTAGTATTATCGCTGGCCTGTCTGTTCGGGATAAATCCCACTTGGTCTGGGTGGATAAGTCGGGCAGGAGTGGGTTGAGTCTTTCCGTCATTACTTTCGTGAATATTTTAATGTCTACATTTAGCAGGGAAATTGGTCTATAGTGTCTGGGGTCTAGATGGGATTTGCCGGGTTTCGGTATGAGGCATATGTTCGCCTGTAGCATGTCAGGGGGAAGGGGATCCCCCTGGAGCAGTGCATTAAAGAGATCACTGAGTTGCGGGATTAGGGCTGCTGCAAAGGTTTTATAATATAGTCCCGAGAATCCATCTGGGCCTGGGCATTTATTAGGTTTCAGCGTTTTGAAGGCGTTAGCAATTTCTTCAGGTGTGATTGTCTCTGAGAGTCGGCTAGCTCCTTCAGGCGTCAGTGAGGGAAGGGTGACAGAGTCAAGGTATTCATTGATCATGCTCGCAAGTGGAGTGGGGTTCTGTCTGTGTTGGGGACTGTGGTCGTACAGCTCCGAAAAGTATTCTTGGAATACTTTTGCTATTTGGTCTGGCGACTCCTGAGGTGTCCCTTCTCTCGAGTGGATTTTGGTGATTTTTTGGTGCGTAGCTCTGCGGTTGAGTTTACGGGCAAGCAAGGAGTCGGCTTTATTAGATTTTTCATAAAAGAGCTGGCGGGTCCATTGGAGGGCCTTGGCTGTGTCCGCTGACATGAAGTCTTTTATAGCTGCCTGGTGTTGTTGTATTTTAGTATTCAGGTCTGGCGTGGGTTGTTTTTTGAAGGCGATTTCCAGTAAGCGGAGTTCTTTTAGGTTTTGTTCTAAATTGGCTAGGCGCCCATAGTATACCCGGGGAGGTGACGGAGTGTTTGTTTAGGGAGAAATAATCTGTGATGGCCCGGGAGATGGAATCTCGGATTGCAGGGTTATGTAGCAGTGTGGGGTTCAGGCGCCAGGACCATTGGCGGGTTACGCCTGGTGGGTCTAGAGTGAGAGAGATATCTGCGTGGTCCGACCACGTAATTAATCCAATAGATGTGGATTTGAGCATAGGTACTACGGACTTTATGTATTTTAAAGTGTTTTATGTCTTTTTGCAACCATGTGCTCAATGGAGTCTGCCTCTATCCCTGGATAATTGGATTACTTTCTCCATTGTCCCCAGGATAGAGGCCCTGTAAAACCTGCTTGAACCAGATAGCCATGCTGGCAGGGGTTTTTAAAAGATACTTTACTAACTTTTGAACCCCTGGTCTGATTCATGCCATTTTTTAATATGTTGTCCCCCTGAATGGATTGATTGTGGATATGTAATTTTTATGTGAATGTGATGTATGGTTTTAGAGTTATGAAAGTTGGGTAGAAAGTATGTCTTAACTGTATGTGTAATTGAGTTTCCTCTCAGGATAAGGGGAGGGAATATGTGGGATGTAACTGTGATGTGATTGGTTGTTTTATACCTCCCTGTGGGCGGACCTGTATTTGCAACAACTGTAATAAAAACCAAGCTGGGTGTGCCAGCACCTGAGATTCTGCTTGACCCTCAAACCGATGTGTCGTCTCGTTTTTGGGGGGAATCGGATTGTATGCTGACTGCCAGGAGTGTAAGCGGATTGTATGCTTTTCCTGTTCGGCTGATTCCAGTGTTCGTGTGTTTCCAGTTCGGGAGTTGGTGAATTCGTACAGTTTGCAGTTCGGGAGTTTGGTGCTTGCAGTAGCTGCTGGTCTATGGGAAAGGGGATTATCGCCTAAATGGTTTTTATCCTCTTGTGAGAGAAACGGTCCGTTACAATTGGTGGCAAGCGGCGGGATCATTCCCACAGGACAGCTACAAAACAACATCAATTCCTCGATTACAAATTGAGGGCAACGCTAGTACCCGTACAGCGACCCTATCTACAAAGGAACCAACTTCGGCAGAGCAAACATGGCGCCCAGCTACACTCAGGAGGAGTTTGACAGAGAGTTTAAATCACGGCTGGCTCTCTATGGATCCTACACCCCCTCGGAGGAGTCCGTGCTGCGCGTGAGGAGACCTGTAGCAGAGTACCTGCAGGTCGTGGCAGATTGCGCCAAAGGTATCGTCCGCCCTCCCCGGCGGCAGTGTGTACCCCAGGGAGCTGAAGGTGCCGTCCTTCCTCCCCAGTGGCAGTGTGTATCCCAGGGAGATGAAGGTGTCGTCCTTCCTCTCCAGCGGCAGTGTGTACCCCAGGGAGCTGAAGGTGTCGTCCTTCCTCCCCAGCGGCAGTGTGTACCCCAGGGAGCTGAAGGTGCTGTTCTTCCTCCCCAGCGACAGTGTGTATCCCAGGGAGCTGAAGGTGTCGTCCTTCCTCCCCAGCGGCAGTGTGTACCCCAGGGAGCTGAAGGTGTCGTCCTTCCTCCCCAGCGGCAGTGTGTACCCCAGGGAGCTGAATGTGTCGTCCTTCCTCCCCAGCGGCAGTGTGTATCCCAGGGAGCTGAAGGTGCAATCCTTCCTCCCCAGCGGCAGTGTGTAACCCAGGGAGCTGAAGGTGCCGTCCTTCCTCCCCAGCGGCAGTGTGTACCCCAGGGAGCTGAAGGGGCCGTCCTTCCTCCCCAGCGGAAGTGTGTACCCCAGGGAGCTGAAGGTGCCGTCCTTCCTCCCCAGCGGCAGTGTGTACCCCAGGGAGCTGAAGGTGCAGTCCTTCCTCCCCAGCGGCAGTGTGTATCCCAGGGAACTGAAGGTGTCGTCCTTCCCCCCAGCGGCAGTGTGTGTTCTTAGGAGAGGAGACAGTTGGTCCCTCTCCCCAGCGGTCAAGTGAGTCCCAGGGAGCTGAAGGTGTTATCCTTCCTCCCCAGCGGCAGATTGTATCTCAGGGAGCTGAAGGTGTCATCCTTCCTCCCCAGCGGCAGATTGTATGTCAGGGAGCTGAAGGTGTCATCCTTCCTCCCCAGCGGCAGATTGTATCTCAGGGAGCTGAAGGTGTCATCCTTCCTCCCCAGCGGCAGATTGTATCTCAGGGAGCTGAAGGTGTCATCCTTCCTCCCCAGCGGCAGAGTGTCCTGCAGGGAGCATCCCAGCAGCAGGACAAAATATTGAAAGGGGAGACAGCTGGTCCCCCTCACCACCAGCAGAGAGAGTGTCACGGAGAGAAGCCTGCTACCCCCTCTCCCCAGCGTCAGGTTACAGTTCAGAGAGAGGAGCTTGTTACACCCTCTCTCCAGCGGCAGCCTAACCCACCAAGGGGAGATGTTACACCCCCCAACAGTGCAGATGGGACTGTAGTCTCTGCACTTACAGCACAAGGGATAGGGACAGTCGGTCCTGTTCCCCAGCCACAGAGCGGTGTATCCAGAGGGGAGACAGTCGGTCTCTCCCTCCCACAACCAGGCTCCCACCAGGCTACTTCCGTGGTAGCACTGGCATCAGGGCAGAGTACCGCTGGTCTCTGCCCACTCAGCAACCCACCAAGGCAACCTAACAGTTGCCCACACAGTCGTGGTGAGGCACCTGGACATGGACAAAGTTTTCCTCTACCCAGGTGTAGTAACCAGTTATTGTGGGTGGGCTGTACTGCTGTTTCTGTTTTGTGGGTGGGTTGCTGGACTAACCAGGGCACTGACCGGCAGGAGGTCAGATACCCTGTTAGTCTAGTTGGTAAAGGGGAAAAGTGTGGCGAAACCAACCTCGCCACTGTGAACTGGAGAAGCCTGGTTGCTCGCCTGCTCCTTTTGGACTATGGCCCTGCAGGTTAAACCATTTATTTCCCCTGCAGAAAGGCTTATTTGTGTGATCTGAGTGCCATTCATCTAATAGTGTGTGCTCAGATCCCAGCTATCTGGGGATATGTGAAATGTCTGTGTGTTATGTGTAAAAGGTGACTTTATGTATTTTAAAGTGTTTTATGTCTTTTTGCAACCATGTGCTCAATGGAGTCTGCCTCTATCCCTGGATAATTGGATTACTTTCTCCATTGTCCCCAGGATAGAGGCCCTGTAAAACCTGCTTGAACCAGATAGCCATGCTGCCAGCCAGGATACAAAAGATACTTTTTACTAACTTTTGAACCCTGGTCTGATTCATGCCATTTTTTAATATGTTGTTCCCCTGAATGGATTGATTGTGAATATGTAATTTTATGTGAATGTGATGTATGGTTTTAGAGTTATGAAAGTTGGGTAGAAAGTATGTTTTAACTGTATGTGTAATTGAGTTTCCGCTCAGGATAAGGGGAGGGAATATGTGGGATGTAACTGTGATGTGATTGGTTGTTTTATACCTCCCTGTGGGCGGACCTGTATTTGCAACAACTGTAATAAAAACCAGGCTGGGTGTGCCAGCACCTGAGATTCTGCTTGACCCTCAAACCGATGTGTCGTCTCATTTTTGGGGGGAATCGGATTGTATGCTGACTGCCAGGACTGTAAGCGGATTGTATGCTTTTCCTGTTCGGCTGATTCCAGTGTTCGTGTGTTTCCAGTTCGGGAGTTGGTGAATTCGTACAATTTGCAGTTCGGGAGTTTGGTGCTTGCATTAGCTGCTGGTCTATGGGAAAGGGGATTATCGCCTAAACGGTTTTTATCCTCTTGTGAGAGAAACGGTCCGTTACATAGGGGATGTGTTATTGTAGAGCAGCGATTCCCAACCTGTGGTACGCGTACCCCCAGGAGTACAATTCAGTGCCCCTGGGGGTACGCTTAAAAATCCTGTTAATGGCGGCGGTGCAACCGCCCTGCACAGGCTGGGACTACAAAGTTAGCGGGTCCATCGGGTAGCCATTGCACTCAGGGCCACCCGATGGATATTTGCTATGAGGGGCCCGGTCGTAAGCTGCAGCACTTTAATACAGTGATCGGGCCCCTTCTAACCTGACCGGAGTGCTGGGAGGAAGTGAGAGCTAGACACACACTTCCTCCCAGCTGTTACCAAGCTGCGCAGTAGGAAAGGGGCGAAAGGGGCGGGGCGGAGAGGATAGGACCGGGACCTCCACTCTCAACAGCCTCAGCCACAGAAGCCACACAAAAGGTATATGTATGTGTGTTTTGGGTGTCAGTATGTGTATGTGTGTTTTGGGTGTCAGTATGTATGTAGTGTATGTATGTGTGTTTGTGTAAGTGTATCTGTATAACTGTGTGTCAGTGTATCTGTATATATGTGTTTGTCAGTGTGTATGTGAATGTCTGTGTGTCAGTGTGTGTATCTGTATGTTTGTGTGTCAGTCTAGGTATCTGTATGTCTGTATCTGTGTGTGTGTGTGTGTGTGTCTGTATCTTTGTGTGTCAGTGTGCATATCTGTATGTATGTGTATCTCTGTTTGCCAGTGTGCGTATGTGTGTCAGTGTGCGTATTTGTATGTCTTTGTGTCTGAGTGTGTCAGTGTTTGCATCTGTATGTCTGTGTATGGGTCAGTGTGTGTATCTGTGTGTCAGTGTGTGTCTGTATGCCTGCGTGTATGTGCCAGCGTGTATCTGTAAGTCTGTGTATCTGTACGTCTGTATTTGTCAATGTGCGTATCTGTAGGTCTGTGTATCTGAGTGTTTGTCAGTGTGCGTATCTGTCAGTGTGTGTAGGTGTCAGTCTGTATCTGTATGTCTGTGTGTATGTTAGTCTGTATCTGTATGTCTGTATATCGTGAGTGTTAGTGTGTGCATCTGTATTTCTGTGTGTCAATGTGCATATTTGTATGTCTGTGTATCAGTGTGTGTATCTGTATGTCAGTAACTATGTGTGAGTGTATCTGTATGTTTGTGTATCTGTGTGTGTTTCAGTATGTGTGTCTGTGTATCTTTTAGGGCCTGCCCATCTATAGGTCCCAGTAGGGCCATGGCTCCAGGCAGCACTTTGACAGGTGCGGCATTTCCCCTGGAAAGCCTAGTCCTCCCAGATCAGCTTGTCCGCCGGAGAGGGCTTGGAGGCTGCTCAAAACGAAAAGAAAAAACTTAGAAGTCTGGAGAGGGAGGCTGATCTGGGGCTGGCCGGGTCCTCAGTGTTACGAAGTGTTTCCCACTGAAGTTCCAGCACTCTGAGATTACTAGATGTGCGTGCCAGAACTTCAGTGGGAACTTTACTTACATCAGTTTGCTGCAGGGCTGTTGTTGTGGGCTGGCCCCGGAAGCGTCAGAATTTCCCTTTGTGTCTGGCTATGTGTGCCGTAACAGCCACATTGCTAGCACAGGCATCAGGACGTGCAGGAGTCGGACTTAGCTTTTATCCAACACACCGCGGATACTGAAAGGGTAAGTAATTATTAGGTTAAATGCACACCGGTGTTAATTTTGGCTTTAAATTTCAATTTCGTTTTAGTCCTAGTCTTTTGACCTAAAAGCCATTTTAGTTTTAGTCGTATTTTAGCCATCTGAATTGTTTTAGTTTTAGTTGACTAAATCTTCAGTAGATTTTAGTCGACATGAAAATCTAGTCTGTTTAATTAAAACCTCTCTCTTTTGCCCCCCCCCCAACCCACATGTGTCTCGTTGCCTCTGTCCCCATGTGTCTAATTACTTATTTTCCCTCCCCCATGTGTCTTACTCACCCGTGTTAATTTTTGCTGCAAATTTTGATTTACTTTTTTTAACTGTTTTTGTTTTTGTTTTTTTTAACTAAAAAGCCGTTTTAGTCATATTTTAGTTATCTGAGTTGTTCTAGTCATCTGAATCTCAAAAATTGTAGTCGACTAAAATCTGACTAAAATGGTTAGTCGACAAAATTAACACTGATGCACACAGTGTGCTGGACATAGGAATTCCAATCCCAGCACACACAGACATACTAGGTCCCCAGCAGACACCCACTACATCCCTAGCACACACAGGCACGCTACATCCCTAGCACAAACAGACTCGCTACATGCCTAGCACACACACCACATCCCCAGCACACACAGACACACTACATCACTAGCATATACACTACTTCCCCCGCACACACACACAAACACACTACATCCCCAGTGCACACACACAGACACTGCATCCCAAGTGCGCACACATGCATTACATCCCCAGCATACACACACACAGACACTACTTCCCTAGCACACACACTACATCCCTAGCACACAAACTACATCCCCAGCACACACACACAGACACACTACATCTCCAGCACACACACAGACACAGTATATTCCCAGCACACACACCAATACTTCTCCAGACCAATGGCATACATCCCACATGACAACTTAACTTACTCCTTTTTGGTTTGTTATTGTTAGTGATTGACGTATATTGTTCTTAGCTAATATTTTATTACCACTGCATATATGTTATGACGTTTAAAGGGACACTATAGTCACCAGAACAACTACAGCTTATTGCATTTGTTCTGGTGAGTAGAATCATTACCTTCTGCCTCTTTGTCAGTCTCAGCCAATCCTATGGGGAAGCATTGTGATTGGATCAGACTACCACTTCTGCTGATGTCAGCAGACTGCTTGTTTTTCTGAGTCTAACAGCATGCAGAGTTACAGCTTCAGGCTTGAATAAAGTAAGATTTTGCTATATTTATGGAGGCATGAGGGGCCCAGGGGGGCTAGGTGGTGGTTTTGACACTATAGGGTCAGGAATACATGTTTGTGTTCCTGACCATATAGTGATCCTTTAATTTAGTGTGCAGTTATCTAAATATGTTACTGGAATGTATTTATCTAATCATGATATATTTAATTTTGGTTTTAACCCAGGCAGAAAAATGTCTTGGGGCGGTATCTGTGTATGTCATTGTATCTGTATGCATTTGAGTGTGTGTATCTGTGTCTGTATAAGTGTGTATATTTGAGTGTGTATCCATTTATCGGCATGTGTGTGTGTGTATCTGTATGTGTGTCAATGATTGCATATGTGTGTCTATGTATCTGCATGTGTGGCAGTGTGTGTTTCTGTACATCTGTATGTGTGTCAATGTGTATCTGTGTATCTGCATGTGTTTTAGATCAAAGAAAACTTTGATAATTTGTCTATCTACACCTTCCAAATTGATTGATTAATGCGTGCACGCTTTCCCTAGAAGTAATTCACACCGGAGTTTCTGATCAGTGAAAAACCAAGGAATGCTTTATTCCCCGGAGTGGGGGCTCCTTCTTAAAGCAGGGAGGGAATATTTACTCTAGCAGCCAGTTTTAACATCTTTCCTTTACAAGATCACAAGCTAACCGACCGCGGGAGGGGTTAACATGAGTCTGACCCATTGATACACTACAGTAGTACTGGATAGAGAGAAGCAGATCCTGGACCAAAAGAGAGTGAGAGAGAGAGAGAGACTGAGGTAGAGAGAATGAGGGAGCGAGAGAGTGGGGGAAGAGTGTGAGAGTAAGGGAGACAAAAAGAGTGAGAGAGAGAGTGTAGGAGAAAGTGAGCAAGAGGCTGAGGGAGATAAGGTGAGAGGGAGATTGAGAGAAAGAGAGGTTTAGGAAGAGAGAGAGAGGGAGACTGAAAGAGAGAGAGACTGAAAGAGAGAGTGTAGGAGTTATAGACTAAGGGAAACGTGCATCAAGCGTCACATGTACGTCCTAGCAGAGCACAGAGAACCAGAGTGATGCAAAAAAAGCACAATATACATGCCAAAGCACAATATATAGATGCAATCAAACCACAAAGTCCTTAAAATAAATGCCGGCTTATAATAACTCAGGTCACATACATAGAAACACGCAAACACACATACAACAACTTAACTCTTTGTTCGTTGTTTTTATTATTTCAACAAACTAAAACTAATTACGCCAGTTTTGTATTTCCCACAAATTTAATATTAAAATATTAATATAATCCGGCCTGAATCGCCAGGTTTTTGCACCCTGAACTTAAAAGAAAAACAACAAAAGAAACGCCAAGATTTAATATTAAAATATTAATATAATCCGGCCTAAATCTCCAGGTTTTTTTTTGCACCCTGAATTTAAAAGAAAAACAACAAAAGAAACGCCAAGATTTAATATTCAAATATTAATATAATCTGGCCTAAAACTCCAGGTTTTTTTGCACCCTGAATTTAAAAGAAAAACAACAAAAGAAACGCCAAGATTTAATATTAAAACATTAATATAATCTGGCCTAAATCTCCAGGTGTTTTTCTTTGCACCCTGAACTCAATCGCCAGGTTTTTTCTATGAACCCGACCTCAATAATCAAAAGAAAGTAAAACAGATTCTCAAACAGACACTTTCACACATAAAACTCACACTCAGGACTCAGGCTGTAGATAGACAAGTGACAGGTTCTATACAAAAGGGGACATTCGGGCATATATATATTACCTATCTGAAGACGTTAACCACAGGAAGCCGAATGTGAAGGCACAGAGAATAAGCGAAATCCAAAGAAAGGAAAATATAGGTAAGTAACTCATTTACCATATGCAGAGGTGATCAGGCTCCGTTTCCAATCTCTGGGAATCCTTTGTTCTCCTGTCTTGGAAAAGTTATACGGCTTCAAGTGGAGTAACCACCCTTTCAGTCCCTGTTCGGGCGCCAAATGTTTTAGATCAAAGAAAACTTTGATAAATTGTCTATCTACACCTTCCAAATTGATTGATTAATGTGTGCGCGCTTTCCCTAGAAGTAATTCACACCGGAGTTTCTGATCAGTGAAAAACCAAGGAATGCTTTATTCCCCGGAGTGGGGGCTCCTTCTTAAAGCAAAAATACGTCACAGTTTAAACATACAGTATACATTCAACAATTGGTTAACAGTCGAAGGGGTCTTGTCTAAACCCCCCCTACAGGATGTAGTGTCGTCATTACAGACTTCTCCCACCTATATTGGATACACGATGGGAGGGGGAGTGAGTAGTTTCTTTCAGTTACTTTAACAGTGATTCTCCATTTTGTTACACGTGGCATATAGCTGTTAACTGGCAAAAAGGAAGTGGGGGAGGAGTTAGTAAAGGAAGCTGTTAACACAGGAATTTTTTTGTTACACGAGGCCTGCTCTGATGGGAAGGGGGATGCTAGCAGGATGCGAGGAATTTACAGAGAGAAAATAGTGCCTGAACACATTGTAGGGGGGGGGGGAATATTTACTCTATCAGCCAGTTTTAATATAGTGAACACAGAATAAATAGACAGTAAATAGCCATTTTATTTTAATTCATCTGTCCATAACAGTCCCCCCTTAAAATGGCAATTTTACTAGAAACTACTATCTCTCACTCTAATACTGTCCCTATAGAAAAATAACAAAAAGGCTATCTTGCACATCTGTCTGAACAGGCCTCGAACACTTCACTGCACGGGTAACCCGTAGCAGCTTGTCCACTACTTCTTCCCGCGACAGACTTCTGCCCGTAGAGACAGACGCTATCCCTGAATGTCCTTAAGAGGAAGTAGCTGTTGATTTAGTGCGGTGGGACTTTAAGGGTGTATGTGGTGTATCACGGTCTATGTCATCAATCTCTTGGTGAAGGAAGGTCGGGGTGGTCTGGTCGATTGTCTGATCAACTGTCTTTTGTAGGCATTTCTTAAGACAGGGTAACACACAACAAACAAGAAGAGCGAGGATGATTATCGTTATTAAAATGGCAACGCCTATCTGGGCCAGAACACCTTGCCATCCAGACATCCATCCAAACCATCTTTCCCATGGATCTGTGGCCCCAGAATTCCTTTTCAGTTCATTGGACAAACTCTTTAAAGGACCACTCTAGGCACCCAGACCACTTCAGCTTAATGAAGTGGTCTGGGTGCCAGGTCCTTCTAGGGTTAACCCATTTTTTTATAAATGTTTATGAATGGGTTAAGCCTTCCCCTATTTCCTCTAGTGGCTGTCTCATTGACAGCCACTAGAGGCGCTTGCGTGCTTCTCACTGTGATTTTCACAGTGAGAGCACGCAAGTGTCCATAGGAAAGCATTGTAAATGCTTTCCTATGCGACGGGCTGAATGCGCGCGCAGCTCTTGCCGCGCGTGCGCATTCAGCCCAGGAGGAGGAGAGCTCTCCGCCCAGCGCTGGAAAAAGGTAAGTTGTTAACCCTTTCCCCTTTCCAGAGCCGGGCGGGAGGGGGACCCTGAGGGTGGGGGCACCCTCAGGGCACTATAGTGTCATGAAAACGAGTATGTTTTCCTGGCACTATAGTGGTCCTTTAACTTTTCTATTGCCAACGTTACCTTACCATTAGGGCCTGTATTATCTGGAATATAGGTACAGCATGTCATGGTGTCTGGGAGTATTTTACATACTCCCCCTTTCTCCGCCAGGATCATGTCTAAGGCCATTCTATTCTGGAAGGTCATCTGGGAAGTAGCTTGTAATTGTTCCGCCAAACCTTGGAGGGCATCTCTTGTATAATTTACAAAACGTTGTTGGTTATAATAGATGTAATTGATCCAATTTAAATTTTTATTGGCCGTGATGATTGGGAAAATAGTTTCAAACCCTGCGGACACTTCATCTCTTGCTTTAAACTCATTCGGCACCCCCCTTGGCACTCCTATGGCATCTATATAAATATGGGAATCAAAACTGCCTTTTACAGGAGTATCTCTCTTTATTCTAGAGTATTGGTGTGACGTACCTGGGGTATCTTGGTGTCCATCAGAGATTATGTGTATAGGCATAATTACCTTAGCTAGGGCACATTCTCCCCACCATACGCCTTCCAATCTGGTTCTAATCTGCATATCCCCACAAATCCAATATATGTCTCCAAGGGATCTTATTTGTTGCTGGATTAGGGCGGGTGGAATTGGGCTATATGTGGCACAGTATTTACCAGTGAAATTACCAAAGAATTGACCTACCCCATCATATATACCATAACAAGTGTAGTTACCTGGGTATATGGTGATACCTTTATCTGGCTTAACATCTTTAAGGATAATTGGGTATTCCTTTCACCATGATTCACATTCCGTCCGGTCAATTTTAAGTATAGTATAGAGACTTAGGAAACACATCTCTATCTCCGGAGGTATGTTCAAAGGGACAGTACCTAAGTGAGGCCTCGCTCCTCCACAGACATAGCAGTTAGATCTGTTGTGTTTGTTAGCGTTATATTTCATCCACTCAAGCCATAAGTTAGTGTCAGAGAAACCCGTCTCTACAGCCATAGTGTCCTCATACGTGGGGTTAGCTATAGCTATCATCTCTTTTAGAGTTTTGATATGTGGCTTAAGAGGATTAATAGTCATGTGCGTGGCACCTACCCATTCAGGTGAGTCATACATGTTCCGTAAGTAAAAGGTCCCCTGTTTATTATATGAACCTCCTCCCTTCCAGTACATTCCCATTACATATTGCCCAGCATCTCCAGGACTGGGATGTTCTATGTTTAAAGCTAGTTTCATAGGTGTCGCCCCCGCTGGTTTCCTGAACGTCATTCTTTTCAGTAAGGACTCCCCATTTTTATCTAATCTGTCTAAGGCACTTTGTGGTCTATAGCCCCAGGCTGGCCCTGTATTCCAACCTGCTGCCTTCCATGAACTACACTCATATCCCCAGTAGTCATTAGTCACACATATGTATAGGTCCTTAATGTCTGGTATATCTTTGTACACTGTTGACAACAATGCTGGTGGAAATGTACAATGTACGATATCACAATAGTCAAATGCAAATGTGGCCACCCGTGTACTAGAGGAATTGTACCAAAATGTGTAAACATGATTGTCTTTGGTTATAGCGACTTGTTGGGCCTTTATCAGACCTAGCAGCAAGAACAAATACACAAAATTCATGCTATAACAGGATCTGCTTCCTCTGGAGCTGGGACTTTCTTGCAATGTGAAGCGTGTATCCAAGTGTTCTTTCCGGCCAATTTAACTGAGGTAGTCGTGGTTAGAAGGACTTGGAATGGACCATCATATCTGGGTTCAAGGGTATGTTTTCTCAGGAACTTCTTAACCAGAACCCAATCACCAGGGAGCAACTTGTGTGTGCCTGTATCAGAATCTGGATCTGGAATGGAAGAAAACACTTGGGCATGTATCTTGTTTAAAACTTGGGAAAGAGCAGTCACATAATTAACCATAATATCTGATTGCAGTTGGAGTTGTTGAGGAAAGTAACAACCTAACCTAGGGGCTGAACCAAACAAAATCTCATAGGGAGACAGGTTAAACTTCCCTCTTGGTGTGTACCTGACACTAAACAGAGCTATGGGGAGACTCTCTGGCCAGGGCAGGTTAGTTTCTTGGGCCATTTTAAGCATTCTGGCTTTTAAGGTGCCATTCATGCGTTCTACCTTACCACTACTTTGTGGGTGATAGGGTGTGTGGAATGCAAGAGTCACCCCCAGTGCTGCCCAGACTTCCTTAGTCACTAGTGCTGTAAAAGCCGGGCCCTGGTCACTTTCAATCACTTCAGGAACTCCATATCTACAGACAATTTCAGTGAGCAACCGCTTGGCAGTGGTCTTGGCGGTCATATTAGTAACCGGGAAAGCTTCTGGCCATCCTGAGAACATGTCCACCATAACTAGGGCATATTCATACCGGCCACTCTTTGGCATCTGAATGTGGTCAATTTGGACTCTCTGGAATGGGTAGTGTGGCTTCGCCAGGTGTTTGGGGAACACTTTCTCCAATTTTCCCGGATTGCACTTGGCACAGATAGCACAAGACTTACAGTAGGTTTTAGTCAGAGTGGTAATACCTGGTGCTTCAAAATATTTAGCAATTAAAGAGTTCATGAGTGTCTTAGACAAGTGCGCTGCTCCGTGGGCCCACTGTACCACAGCCGGATACATACATTTAGGTAGACAAAATTTGAGATTGCTAGTATATACTCCATCCTGCAAGGTTGCTCCTTTCTGTTTCCAGCTTTGCTTTTCTTCAGGACTTACAGCTGCTTGCTGTTCTTTCAAAAACTTGAGGTCTGTAGGTAAGCTTTGCATGGGAAAAATAGGAATTTCCTCACCGGACACTCTTCTGTCCACTTCCCTTGATTGATATGCAGCATTTGGCGGCCTCTTCAGCTTTATGATTGCCACATGTTTCTTCCGAATTCCGTCTTCCATGGGCTTTTACTTTCAGTATGGCCACTTCTTCAGGAAGGAGTAAAGCATCCAACAATTCCTTGATAGCTGTACCATTTTTAACTGGTGTACCGGTTGCTGTCAGAAAACCTCTTGTTTTCCATATTAATCCAAAATCGTGTGCTACGCCCAGGGCATATCTTGAATCGGTGTAAATATTAACACATTTCCCTTCAAACATTTGGCATGCTACAGTGAGGGCTTTTAGTTCAGCTTCTTGAGCAGACATAGACGGGGAAGTGGGGATGCTTGAAGTACCTGATCTACTGTGGTCACTGCAAATCCAGTGTGGTATCTTCCTTGTTCATCCGCAAATCTGGAGCCATCCACAAACAGTGTGCAGTCAGGATCTGGCAAAGCCGTTTCATGTACTGTAGGAAGATGGACTGTTTCCATCTTCATCTGTTCAAAACAGTCATGGGGGACATCTGGGTCAGGATCTATGGGAGGGGCATCTTCACATATTTCTGTGTGATATTGTGGGTAACCAGTAGTCTTACAATTCACAGTTCGTTTGGTAACACCTTCTGTGGAGAGTTGGTCTTGATCTGTTGCACTCCATGCTTTGGCTAATGGACCAAGTTCCTTCCATGAGTTATTTGGAGATTTAGTAATAGAGACATAAGGAACTGCCATCTCCCAATGGTGGTACATATGAGTCACTTCTGTGGGTAATTGAACTAAAACTACAGTGTTACCTTTTGTATCACAGGTTATGTCTGTCAAAGTGAGACGTACTTCAA